AGCAAACTTGAAGAGCACGGAAAACATAGGAATAAAATGAAGCTAACTTTTGTTTAGTCGGATGACATGATTTAAAAGTGTGGTGGAAGGCAAACCGATGAAGGTTTACGGTAAACTGTAGTACTGAAGTTGGATGTGTTACGTGTGACCAGAATGTCGAGAAACGGAAGAGAATTGCAAGTCTCAAGTTCAAAAGTGAACTGAATAGCAGGATCAATAGAATTCATTGTTGAAAGAACTCTATTTAAATCATCTTTATTACCTTCAAACAGGGTAAAAGTATCGTCTACGTAGCGGAACCATGCCGGGAAGTTTAAAGTTTCAAACAATTTTTGATTCATAATAATGCATGTAGATGTCAGCCAGGATGGGACTGAGGGGGCTTCCCATGGCTAATCCCTCAGTTTGCTTGTAATATTTATTTTGGAAAACAAAATGTGTTTGTTTCAAACAGAGTTGAGTGAGAGAAATTAGCTCATCAATTTCGATGCAAGAGAAAATGAAATTCGCGAAGTCTGGTTTCTAGACATCTTAATGCACCCTCCACTGGGACATTGGTGAATAATGATTTTACATCAAAAGAAAACCATGAGTAAATTACGAGGAGAAATGTTTTTAACCTTTTTTACAAACTCTATTGAATTTTTTATGGTGTAAATGTTATTGTCTAATAGAGCGGAAAATCTAGAAACTAAATATTTAGCTAATGGATACGAGGCAGTACCTAAATTTGATACAATAGGGCGGAAAGGAATACCACTTTTATGAATTTTGGGAAGAGCATATAATCTGGCACAATTCGCAACAGATGGGATAAGCGAATGTTTTAAGTTGCTTGAAATGATTTGCGAAGATTTGATCGCAGTTTTTATTTTGGATAAGTCCGAAGGTGAAGGATCTTTAGGGATCGGATTATATGGTCCTTCGTTTAAGAGTTTAGTGACACCATCGATGTAAGTGTTCTTATCCATGACGACTATCTGGCCACCTTTGTCGGCCTTTGAAATGACAATATCCGGGTTAGAATGAATCTCTCGCGCATTGTAGCTCTTTCTCTCGCAGTTAGATTTGGTTTCAAAGGTTTATTATTGAATTTCACATTATGAGCGATAAGATACCTAATCATTTTCTTTCTGTGAATCTGAAACTTTACTGAACTTGAAAGCTTTTTCGATAGGAGCCAAAATCTTTGGAATCGAGGGTTTACAGGTTTGTGAGAAGTTAAAATTATATTTTAGAATTCTCTCTTGTTCTTCTGAAAGACTAACATTAGAAATATTAACTATTGGCTTGATGTTTACAATGGGAAGATTTTTTGAACTACTTGAACTGGAAGACTGTAAAAGAAGTTTTTCGAATTTAACTGCAAGGGTGTTTTTATGACGGTTAACTGCATTCTCCGTTCTGGACCAAGACATTTGTTCAAGGGCAGTGAATTTTGGATATGTTTTAGCGAGTTCCAGATGAAGCTTATAGAGTTCATGTTCAATTTTGGACAATTGTTGACGTGTATCCCTTATCACGGACCGAAGTAAGACAAGTTGCAATTTAACAGAATTCTTGAAACGCGACTCGAAGGTTTTTGATTAGATTTGATTTGAATAAAATTGGGGATCAATTTTTTACATTTACATTTAAGTAAAAAGTCAAGATTATTCTAATATTAATCTTTTCAGAAGAACAAGAGAGAATTCTAAAATATAATTTTAACTTCTCACAAACCTGTAAACCCTCGATTCCAAAGATTTTGGCTCCTATCGAAAAAGCTTTCAAGTTCAGTAAAGTTTCAGATTCACAGAAAGAAATGATTAGGCATCTTATCGCTCATAATGTGAAATTCAATAATAAACCTTTGAAACCAAATCTAACTGCGAGAGAAAGAGCTACAATGCGCGAGATTCATTCTAACCCGGATATTGTCATTTCAAAGGCCGACAAAGGTGGCCAGATAGTCGTCATGGATAAGAACACTTACATCGATGGTGTCACTAAACTCTTAAACGAAGGACCATATAATCCGATCCCTAAAGATCCTTCACCTTCGGACTTATCCAAAATAAAAACTGCGATCAAATCTTCGCAAATCATTTCAAGCAACTTAAAACATTCGCTTATCCCATCTGTTGCGAATTGTGCCAGATTATATGCTCTTCCCAAAATTCATAAAAGTGGTATTCCTTTCCGCCCTATTGTATCAAATTTAGGTACTGCCTCGTATCCATTAGCTAAATATTTAGTTTCTAGATTTTCCGCTCTATTAGACAATAACATTTACACCATAAAAAATTCAATAGAGTTTGTAAAAAAGGTTAAAAACATTTCTCCTCGTAATTTACTCATGGTTTCTTTTGATGTAAAATCATTATTCACCAATGTCCCAGTGGAGGGTGCATTAAGATGTCTAGAAACCAGACTTCGCGAATTTCATTTCTCTTGCATCGAAATTGATGAGCTAATTTCTCTCACACTCAACTCTGTTTGAAACAAACACATTTTGTTTTCCAAAATAAATATTACAAGCAAACTGAGGGATTAGCCATGGGAAGCCCCCTCAGTCCCATCCTGGCTGACATCTACATGCATTATTATGAATCAAAATTGTTTGAAACTTTAAAACTTCCCGGCATGGTTCCGCTACGTAGACGATACTTTTACCCTGTTTGAAGGTAATAAAGATGATTTAAATAGAGTTCTTTCAACAATGAATTCTATTGATCCTGCTATTCAGTTCACTTTTGAACTTGAGACTTGCAATTCTCTTCCGTTTCTCGACATTCTGGTCACACGTAACACACATCCAACTTCAGTACTACAGTTTACCGTAAACCTTCATCGGTTTGCCTTCCACCACACTTTAAATCATGTCATCCGACTAAACAAAAGTTAGCTTCATTTTATTCCTATGTTTTCCGTGCTCTTCAAGTTTGCTCCTCCAAACTAGCCCTTGATGAAGAACTAAATTATTTAAAAGCAATAGCTATTGACAGGGGCTTTTCACCCAACATTATTAATCAAGCAGTTAAAAAATTCTCATCTCAACACACTAAAAGCCACACTCTTATTTTAGGAGATTATAAAAATTCTGTTGTCATTCCCTTCTTTCCATCAATTAGCTATAAAGTTGCACATATTTTGCAGAAATTTAACTTTCGGGTTCTTTACTCTCCCATCAATAAAATTCCAACTTCTATACTCAAGGACCCCATTCCGGATATAAATTCCTGGGGTATTTATAGGATTCCTTGCCAGTGTGGTTTAATTTACATTGGCCAAACTAAGAGAGCCTTAAAATTTCGCGTCAAAGAACATGAGGCATATGTTAGAAAAAAGGAAACACAGAAGTCTTCTGTTGCTCAACATTGTTGGTCCGAAAATCACACTTTCAATTTTTCTGCTGCCAAAATTATTCAAAAAACATCTTCCATTGGAGAACTGGATTTTCTAGAGGCATTTCACATTCATAAAAATCTTTCTGTTCTAGTTAACGATCCTAATTCCAATCCAAATTTGCCTTCGGCTTTTAGAGAAATTATGTTTTAGTTCTGGTTTCGCCAACAGATGGCGCCACTTGCTTATTCTTGTCCAGGCTTTCTTATCTTATATAAACATTATTTCCTATCTTGTTCATTTGCGGTTTTGCAGCTGAAGATGATGGTTCGGTAAAACCATCGAAAGTAGTCCTGTGAAAATTTTGTAAATTAATGCTGATTTTTGTTGTTTGACTTCTGAATTAGTATTTATTCGGCGTGTTATTGTGTCTTAATTACGAAGTAAATCTTGAACACTTATTTCCTCGAAAAAATTCCAGAAAGGATTAAGCATGATTTAATTGGCAATAATAAATGAAGGCGTTATCTTTGTTGTTGCCAAGCTATGTTTCTCTAGATTGGCAACAAATCCACTAGCCTGCTGTTTCAAATGTAAACAATCAATGGCCGCCATAAAAAAAAGGCTTAGCGGCACTTAAACAACTTTAAAATTGTTGATAATTCTAAAAATATTGCATACAGATTTACTAAAGGCATAAAAACCTTAACCGGAAGATAAAAACAACGTAATTCAATCAGTTTAAAGCAAAAAATGTACGATTTACAAACATATAAGAGTAAAGAAACTGAGATCACTGAACCGGGTAACAGAGTGGATATATATATAAATATTTTTATATACGTTTGGTGCGGCCTATTGCAACCAAAATACGAGGTGCACATCTACATGTTATAGCAGTCCTATATACAAAATTTCAACGTTCTCAGACTACTCATTTTTGAGTTATGCGAGATATGTACGTACGTACATACGTTCGTACAGACGCCACGAAAAATTTTCTTCAGAATTAATTTTAAAGCAGTTTTATAATTTTTTTGGAGGAAACGAGTCTTATATTCTGTTCTTACGTGCAGATATCACGCAAAAACATCGTTAAATTGCATTCGATAGCGGTCAAAATGGATATTTTCGTTGAAATATGCTGCCTGAAACTTTTCGCGATTACAATACTTCCTTTTTACTTCGTACAAGGAAGTAAAAAAGGCTTAAATAATATATTAAAAATGATAAGGCGAAGCAAACGATAACTGTAATTTTCACAGAGGCCATAATGAGGGTAGCTTGTTCTTATTTACTTTTATTATTTACGCTTCAGTAGGCAACGAAATCTCCATGAAATTTAGCAGCCAAGAAGCGAAACTGGGATGAACTCTTAAGACAGTATTCACTATTTTTAAGCAAGATACTATAAGATAATTTTAGCATTCTAAAAATTTGATGAGTTTAAAATATATTTATTAAAATTTGTTGAAATAATAAAATTGGTGAAATAGAATATTTAAAAAGATGTCCGAAGTAGGCATTGCAAGTAATAAAGGAAAAAAGAAAAGAAACATGTAATCAACTATCAACATAATATTGATTAATGTTGAAAGTTATGGAAAGTTTGATCCATTAACATTGTATCTATTGAGTATTAATAAGGCTTATACATGTATTTTCTGTTTTAGGATGGTCTCCGGCATTGCGTTTAGGACCGCACAAACCATACTTTCAAATAGATTTTCTTCGAAATACGAGAGTGTCTAGGTTAGAATTCGTAAAAGTGGCTGATACCAGAAGTGTTACAAAATACCGTCTGCAGTATAGCCACACTGGATCAGACTGGCTTTATGCAAATGAAGTGAGTTGTTGAACATTTATGTAAACATTTTTTTTTCATATATTAATGATATTCCGCATAGTGTTATTTAAAAATACGCAGTTCAAAGTTATTGCTTTCATATTGTTACGTTTTTTTATTCTTCCTTCACGTTCGTACGGGGTTCGTGTGGATTTGGAGTGAATAATGACGACACTACTTGATGAAGTATCGAAACACACACTTTATTTGCCAGTATTGTCAGGACAGCTCCAAAACACGTTTACAGTCTTCGATGAACTACTATAAACACGCTGACATGATCAGCGACACAGCCTCCAGGTCATCAGGCTATCACGGTGGAGACAGCTTCACGGCAAAGCACTAGAGTTATAGCTCCCGACTCTACTTGGTCGTTCTCGGAACTCCCCATACTCTCGAGACTCTCCACACTACAAGTCGCGATGCACTCGACGACACACAGAGCACAGCTCCCTACTCTTCGCTTCAGTCGTTCCCGGAGCTCAACACGCTCTCTCGACGATGCACTAACCGCGATACACTATGCGACTCTTTCGGTGCACTCGACGACCCACTCAGCAGTCGCTGCCCGGCTGTCAACTCGATCGACTCCGCACGGACTGCACACATTCTATACTAACTGCGGACCAGCAGGGTTTATATAGCTTTCGGCTTGTGTTCGAGAACATTCTGAGCTAAACCGGTAAGAATTCATTTCAGAAGGTTCTCCATCAGTTAATGGCATATGGCCAATTTTGTTGCCAGATGTCGTCAAGAAGGCGATTTCTCGCCAAATGTGGCAACCCTGCCTTTCCTTGTTATTTTATGGCAACCCTAAAACTGCTTTGCGGGGAAGCCATCTCACTGCGCCTTGACATTTCGTAATAATATTATTGATGCATTTTAAGTTAAATTAAGGATATATATATATATATATATGTAAGATAAAATTATATGAATCAGAATAACTAAAAACATTAATTCTTCCTCTTTATTCTAAAATCGTAATAACTTCTCTGCATTGCGTCATTTCTAGATCACTCTATGGGCCGCGCAACTCTGATGACGTAATAATTAAGAACTGAAACTGACCTTGTAAACCAAAACTTTTCTCTTCACGTACTTCCATCTTTCATAACTACGCACTTTGCCCTCTACTCTCCTAGGATGGAATTTCGCTGGCTTGCTTTCTATCTTAACAATATATAAAAATGTAAATCTTGTGTGGAAAGGCACGACTAGTGCCAAGTGATTGTGGCCACAAATATCAATTGGAAATAAAAATGGAATTAAAACTGCCTCGACTGCCAAGTTCTTTAAATGCTACGCAATCAAAATTCTTCTTCAATATGAATCTAAGCACAGATCGACACTGCTCCGTTTTTTCTATGTGCTTTTATTATGACAATTAAGCCGGTAAGGATAGTTTCCTGCAGCCTGAAACCTCAATGGAAAATTTAATTCAGCTCTTCAAATCATCAAGTTTGTTTTTTCAGTGTTTAAAAAATAACAGATCATTCTTCTGCTGTGGTGTTTTGCAAGTGCTTCAAAAAAATAATCACGCGTAGTGTTTACAGATTGAAAGTAATATCTCGATAAATTGAGAAGTTTGAATGCCTAGTGAAAAGGAAATCATCAGTGAATTACCGTTTAGGAATTAAGCATTACAGCGGATTAAGGTCGATCTGAATTAGTGTTTGCAAGTATGCGCGACAGAAAATTATTTGCACTTCTGCTTTTTCAACAGCTCAAAAATTATTACATTCGTGTGAACCTAGCTCAGGAACTAAATTATTTAATGTGCTGCAAATTCTACAGTTTTCATTTCAACATTAGTTAAAATTTCTGCAATTTGTTTTGAGAAAATCTGAAATTCTTGTTCATTAATTTTTCTAATTTTTCATAATTATGTGTGAGCAAATTAAGTAACGAATTTTAAGCTATTTAAATTATTCATAGGGAAGGATATTAAGATAGGTTTTTATGTTTTTGAAATTTTGCTGAGAATTTTGAATACGAATTTTATAATTATTCTAAAAATAAAGATGTTAAAAATAAGTGAAATTAGTACAGATAAGTAACATGAAATTATGGTAAATGCATGTTAAAATTTATGGGTTATTGTGTGTTAAGTATAGTATGCTGAGGGTGTACTGGTTTCTTCAACAGAGGCCTGTAATTACCTCTGTACAGTTGTTCCTTCTACCCTCTTCATGCAAGATAATGTTGGAGGCTCTCATTTTATGAATGCATGTAATTTTTTTATTATTATATTTTTTTATTATGGAATGTATTAGTGCAGTTCTCAAAGGCCAGTTACCTTAATGCAAGGAACGGAGGCCTTTTCAAGTAACTGCCAAGGCACCCTAGGCCACCAGTGCATAGAACACACTGGTTGTTAGCTCAAGAGGACAGCCCTATTGATGGATATGTTTGTTTAGAAGTATTGCGAGGCTTCCAGTTTGGTAAAATCAGGAATTGTAAATGAAAGATAACAGTGAAACCATAAATTCTGAAAATCTTAATCCTATTATTTATGATGTTAAATTATAACTTATCAGTATAAAAATAAGTATCATAAATATTTATGTGCATTGCATTTAATTATAAGTAATGATTATGTAAAAGTTTATTTTGTGAGATTCTGTAATAACAAGAACCTTCCCTAAAGAATTGATTATGAACTCTCAACAAAAAGACTGATGACTGATTTAAACAAAAAAAGACTTTTGGACTGAAATGCTGTAACTGTAATAACAGAACCTTCCCTGAAGAATTATGATTATGTGAACTCTCAAACAAAAGACTTTTGGACTGAAATGCTGAAAAATTCAATAAGGACTCTAAAAATTAAAATTTATTTAAAAAAATTGATATTTATAAATTATACTTTACAGGAATCAAAATTTTATGATTTATTTTTTTTTTTTTACATTTGCTAGTGCTTTAACTCTTTCTCTTTAAAAGGCTTCTCTGTCGCTACGCCTTTTTCTTTTTGAAGGGGGGAATATGTAAGATAAAAATTATGAATCAGAATTATAATATAACTATAAACATTAATTCTTCCTCTCTATTCTAAAATCGTAATAACTTCTCTGCATTGCGTCATTTCTAGATCACTCATGGGCGCCGCAACCTGATGACGTAATAATTAAGAACTGAAACTGACCTTGTAAACCAAAACTTTTCTCTTCGCGTGCTTCCATCTTTCATAACTACGCACTTCAGCTTTTGCCCCTCTACTCTGCTAAGATGTAATTTCGCTGGCTTGCTTTCTATCTCAACAATATCAAAAATGTAAATCTTCTGTGGAAAGGCACGACTAGAGTGCCAAGTGATTGTGGCCACAAATATCAATTGGAAATAAAAATGGAATTAAAACTGCCTCGACTGCCAAGTTCTTTAAATACTACGCAATCAAAATTCTTCTTCAATATGGGTCTAATCACGCATCTACAGTGTTCCGTCTTTTCCTTGTGTTTTTATTATGACATATATATATTTAGTTTTAAAAAGAGTTCTCTATTACTTTATTTTCGTAGTTTGTGATTTAGAACTAATTAGTAGTTTTCAGATATTTTTAGCCAGAAAAAGTTGGACACATCCATGAAATTTGAAGCATGTCCAAATGAAATGTATGAAATTTAGATACTACATTGTCTAAGTACAAGCTCAACTTAACATACAATTCAAACAAAATAAACAAAAAGTATTAATATAATGCTATATTTGTAAAGACTGAAAAATATTTATTAATGTACGGTTTACATCAGGATAATGACTAATCTACTGAGATATATATTTAGAAATAAAAGCAATACAATCTTTGAAAAATTAATATACAAACAGTATTTAAACTGCAGAAAAACTATTATTAAGTGCTAATGTATAGGATTTCTTAATGCATATTATATATAAAAAAGAAATTTCGAAATATGGAAACAAATTGTTGGTGATGCTCTAGCGTATGAAATAAATTCTGTATCATTGTCTACTTATGAGCTAATAATAGAACGGAAGATGGTTGACTGTTTCATTACCGCAAACCCCGCATTAATGCACTAAATAGAATGACATTGCATTATCAAAGTAGAAGATAATACAAACTCCCAAACATTATTTGGTATTCAAAACCAAGACTATCGAAATGATAGCTATCCTACGTTTATTCAGACTACAAATTTTAATTCCTTATAAAGAAAAAACGGATCATTCCTGATGTACAACAATACGCACCGTAAAATTTTGTCTAGCAGAATAAACACAGACCAGCTTGTTGCTTCCAGCAACAAAAACATATGATGCTTTGTTTATCAACTCATATCAATTGCTGTAAAAATTTTCTAAACATAATAAATATGTCTTTGAAATTAGTTGCTGCGATGAAACAAAGAAGAAAATAAAATGACACACTTTAAAAACTGTTTATTGACAATATCTACTTTGAAAACAAAAGTACGGATAAGAGGTAATAGGAAAGATGTATTTAATTTTAAAGGTGACCAGTACGGTAATATTCCTCATATATCTTTTTTGAGAAAAGTGTTTAGAGAGTGTTGGTCTGCAGTGCAAAAGATCCGAAATAGCTTTGAGAAATATCCATAATAGGTAACAAATAAACTAAAAAGTTATTAAAAGCATATTGTTTTAAAGGAGCAATAGCAAATATCGATATATAGCGTATTTGCTGGCGTATAAGACGCACATTTTTTCTTTGAAAATAGGTCTGAAAAACGAGGTGCGTCTTATACGTCCATATTTATTGCGTCGATACGTCGTTTGTGAATGGTTCAAAGCTTCATGGGATGCTGTGAAAACAGAGACAGTGGTTAAATCATTTAAGAAGTGTGGCCTTAGTAATGCACTGGATGGTACAGAAGAGAAATTGTTGTATGAGTACTCAGTTGCTGATTTAGAAGGGGTATCAAGTGACTCTTCATTTAGCTCTGGAAATAAGTGTCTGGGTTTTGACGAAGGAGATTAAAAGTTGATTTTTCCCAGATAGATTCGATATTTGCAGAAAGTATTACTTTGTATTTCTATTACTTTATATTTAAAATACTGTAAATTTATTATAATTATGAGTAATAAGAGTTTTATCCTTCAGAAATGTGCATAAAAAGGGGCGTGTGTCTTATACGCCAGCAAATACGGTCTATTACATCAACGTTTATAAACTGAAATTTTAAAATGCAGGTGCAGTTTGTCTAATAATTTCAACAAGTAACATATTATGGAAATTAAAATAGTTTTAGGTTAAAAAGTAAATTTTGCCCTCTAACTTGGATTGCGTAGAATGAGATTTCAGAAGACTTAAAGAATAACCTTCTTTGAGGATCTCTGAACAGCCAGAAGAATTCAGTGAAAAGGTAAGACATCTGAGATATTCCTCGCCTCTTGAGGAGAAAGAGACGACGGCATCCGTAAGTTATAAGAATACTTTCGGATAAAGAAGAACTGGAATTAAAGTCTACATTTCGACAGAATTTAAAACGCCGTTAAGAGTTTCAAGGTTTTCTTACACGTGTTTACATAGACCAACTGAATTAGTGATGGTTAATATTGCACGGGCAAACTCACAGTAATGTTTTTGAAATTTCATGAGCGTTCCATCGATTCGAAAAAGAGATAAACGTTTTAGCTTACATGGAAAACACGCTGAGTAAGCAAATACTTAATTGTATTTACAACTGCGGTACTCTTTTGTTATCGGGACCATATTCAGAAATATATGTACGTAAACGCATGTGTATGTATATGTCTGCATATACGTGTATGTGTATGCCCACATATACACATATACGTACATGTATACATGCACACACAAACACATACATACATGCATACATTTCTGAATCTGGTCCCGACGACAGAGGAGTACCACAATTTCTAAGAAAAGCCTAACATTTTTAAAGCAGTTAATCCTTTTTTCATATGAATAAGCTCTAGTCTTAAATATGCGAGCTTAACTATACAAAATATTTTAACTAAAAATAATAAATTTCTGATATAATTCAATAGCTGATAGGACTCTTAAATAAACAGAAAACAATTTAGAGTTTATAAACGCTATTCAGCTTTGATAATAAAGTTTAGTTTCCAGAAAGGAAAATAAGTATCACGTTGAAACTTGAAGGTAAGAGCTTTAAAAACTTTTAATGCGTTTTTTGTTTCATAACATAATTTTGCGAGTACTCTTATAGTTTTCAAGTTACATCAAATTTTAAAAGGCTCTAAAAAGTGTTTAAATTATTTGTCTTCAATAATGAAAAAGTATTTGTATTTAGTTAATTGAGCATAGAAAAACATGTATGGCCTAACAATAAATAAAAGCCGCATTAGTTCCAAAATCGTTCATTAGGGGATTACATAAAATACACTAACAATAAAATATGACATAAATTATCTGATGATGAAATTTATAAAGATTTTGGCATATTTTGTGACAGAACAATTTTTACTGCATAATTCCTTAACTTTTATTACGAATAGGTAACTGAACTGACCTACAGAAAAAATGGTGAAGCTATCGACACCTTAGAAAAGCCAATTCAGACCAGATTTGTCCGAGTTATCATAGAAGAAGCAGAAAAAGGAGAAGAGGATACTAAATATATCGGGCTTAAGATGGAGATGTACGGATGCTTCATTGGAGAAAAACTGGCTTCAGGTAATTCTCTCTACCTTGTAAATTAATGCAGCTACCTTCATGTAATTCTTTCTTACGTGGGAATGAATGTAAAATAATGCCTAAATTTACAAAATTTTCTACGTGAAACTGATAATTCTTTTTTCTCATTCATGATAGCCTAAGGAAAGAGAAACATTGATGGTATAACGAATGAAAAAAGAGAAAATTATCCTTAAAATATTTTTTTTTTCTTATTCTACTAATACGTAATCATAGTTTATATTCACTTTATTATTAAAATTACCGACTATTTAACTTCTTTTAAAATTCAAGAAATATATCATATTAACAAACTATATAGTTGTAGACACATTAGGTATTTTTTTGGAAGCAGGTAAGATGAAAAATATGCAATGCCTTCGCCGGGAATTGAACCACGGACTTCTCAATTACGCGCTGAGCGTGCAGACCACTACACCACGAAGGCTCACTAAGAAGGCGGGAAAAATACTTTATATAGTTATTCGTAGTCTAAGAATATTACTAGTTTCTTTTTACATCAAATGAATAAGTATAATCAGAAATTTCTTATTCTAATTATTTCTTAGCATGTTACAAATAAATAGTCTAAAATAAGTAAATAAATAAATTTACATATACTGAGTATACAGAATTAATCGAAGAATGATAGAGGAGCGTCTTGACCCCAAATTTAGACATTTATCACATCACACTAAGTAATAGATTCTATAATGCACAAATTTGAGTAATTAATACAAGTATATTACAGTATTCTTCTCTTACGTTTGAATATCTTTAACAACAGAAAGGATTTAACCCTCTGAGTAGCAGGTCTTCTTTTGTCCAGTCATGTAATTTTCTGCCATTGTAAACGCATTAATTTGTTAAAGGGATTCTTACACATTTCTGCACATGGAAATTAAGTAATTTTAAGGACTTCTAATGAAAAAAAATTGTAGAGACATTAGGTGTTGTTTTGGAAGCAGGCAAGAGGAAAAATTAGCAAAGGCCTTCGCCGCGAATCGAACCACGTACCTCTGGAATACCGGCCCAGCTTGCAGAACCACTACAACACGAATGCACGCTAGGAAGGCGGGAGAAATACCTTATATACTCCTCTTTATATAGGGCGATTTGGGTTTTTAGGGGGCCCAATCACCAAATCCTGGGTGTGGAGAATCCCCACCCAACACCCTTTTAGTTCAGGCGCCACTGTAGAGACATTAAGTATTTTTTTGGAAGCAGGCAAGATGAAAAATGAGCAATCGCCTTCCCCGGGAATCGAACCACGGACCTCTGGAATACCGGCCCAGCGTGCAGAACCACTACACAACGAAGGCACGCTAGGAAGGCGGGAGAAATACTTTATAAAATTAAGGACTCATCAACAAATGGGAACTCAATAAATTCATTTAAAGACATTAACTATGCCTGGACTTCACTTTTGTAACACCATACAAGAATAAAATAGATCCACAAGTAAAAATGCATTATTATTAAACATAATTTAATAAACATAATTATAAAACAAAATTGAAAATAAAATCAACTTTCTAAAATTTATCAAGTAGCATTAAATATTTTACCCTTACAATAAATAGTTGGACATATTTGAAAGAAGATTAGTGACATTTTATTTACGTTTTACTAACAGTTAGCTTTATGTTTATTTTTTCTTTCGTGTTTCACTTTGTCACTTAGTTGTTCAGTTTAGAGGTTTAGTTAATAGCAGGTAGATTTTTATGTCAAACGGCATAGGTTATAATGAGAAGTAAAGTCATAATCAGCATGATTCGTTACAGAAGACTGGTTGTTGCCACCGCTGCTGCTTGCCTAGGCAGAGGCCTGCTGATCAGAACAAACCTGAAAGCCTGATATAGGCACGGTTGGCAAGTTTTGAAAGATAGTTGTGCTTTGCATGTCTCACGCAGTTAGTGTCGTAACTTCGTATAGACTTCCCGGCGTTGTAAACCAGTTAATATGTTTTAAGGTTCCAATAAGTCACAGAAGTACCAGGGGAGATAAGATGATTTGTATTATTTTAAGTTTCACTAGATGCAAAGGATTAAGTTTTACATTAACTTTTACATTTTTGTGCTGTATCTTGTGACCACGGTAAAGATTAATGAAAGGCAGTAACTCACTTTAATATGCAGAGCTAACTTTTAAATGTAGAACTAATGCAGCGTGCAAGCGGAGGCCGGAAACAAATTCTGTCTTATAACCCCAAAACCTTAGTTTAAAAACTATCTAAGCGATTTTCATTCTGATGAGGAAACGGAAAGGGAAAATTATAGCAAAGGCTGAACGTATAAACAACTGCTTAATTTACATAATAATAACTGTACACTGCGGGGGGGGAGAACAGTTTATATCTCCCGTTTCTACTTGGCCGATTGACGAAATTCAAATTGCGTTTTTCGTGTCTCGAAAGCGTGACTTAGGATATATATTAGATTTATATATAGCGTTATTCTAATACAGATATTTTAACATAAAATCGACCTTTTTTTCTGAAATGACATTTTTTTCCCATATTTCGATTTTACGACTCAAATTATACCTAAATATTAAATTTTGTAAAATTTGGTGCGAAATTTACGGAAAAATTCAAACATTTATCTTGGCGCATTTTTTTCAGTTTGCGCCAAGAATAATTCAATTGGCAAACTTCTTACTAGACGACAACTTATTCTCCTTTCCCTATTTCCGTTCCGCTGTTCGCCGCACATAGCTAGAAAGTGAAGTCTAGCTTTTGCCGGCTGTCATGAAATGTAGTTGCTTGAAGCACTGCAGGTGTTCGAATGCTTCAGTAGGTCCGGAGACAAGATAGGAGATGGAAAGGGGGGTAAAGCCAGGTCACGCAAGGCAGGGAGACATCCGAATGGTATTTCAGAAGGAAATTCCAGCATCTTAAAGTATAGAGGATGCAGCAAAATATACAAAATAAAATATCATAACATCACTTTTCCCTTACAAAATAGGGGTAATAGTGAAAATGTGCACAATAAATAATAATATTTTTTCTGACTTACATAGTAAGAAGGGAGAGTGGTCACGTGAGTGATCTTCATGGCTGCATCTGATTGGCTTTTGGCCGCAGAGTCCACATTACAGAATACTTGCATTAAATAAAATAAAATAGCGAAAAAAGGCGTAGTAATCATATTTTTCCCAGCATTGGAAGATGGTATATAATAATAAAAACGAGGAATGTTACAATGAAAATCAAAATTCAGTCCATATCAGATCAGAAATTTCCCTTTTTACATTGTACATGAACGGAAAAAATGTCACATAGTTCCCACTTTCAAAATAATTTTAACAAAGTGCCTAAACCACATTTGATGTTGTTACCGCTTTGAACAAATATGCCAAGTTTCAAAACGCGCCAATATATAAATTCACGTATACCTTAAGAACTCTAATTATTTGCAGGTATGCTTAGAAATATATATATAAGATAACGGTAAAAATTTTATAGATTATAATTCCAATTTTTTCTGAAAAATTTTAAAAGTTATTTTAAAATACAAATTAATGAAAATAATCATAAAAATTATAATAATTTATTTTCAAGTTTTTATGATTATTTTTTAAATTTGTATTTTTAAATCATTTTTAAAATATTTGGAATGAAGGAATGGGCGAATTTTATTTGGAATGAACCTAAATTTCGAAATGTGAAAGGAAGAATCAAATAAGTTTAATAAAAAAGAGAGATTAATAAATATATGTCAAATTTAATTAATATTGAAGAGCTAAAATTTTGGGAGAGAATAGAAATATGAAAAAAAAACTGGCATGTCATTTTAGAAAAGTGTGATTTTGTGTCAAAATATCTATATTAGAACATTGCTATATATAAATCTAATACATATTTTAAGTCGCGCTTTCGAGACATAAAAAACGAAGTTGAACTTCGTCAATCGGCCCAGTAGAAAGGAAGATATAGAACTGTCCCATTTTTTTTTTTTTTTTTTTTTTTTTTTTTTTTTTTTTTTTACCCTTTTGAGCAGTGTACACATCTTTGAAGAATAATTTTCTTTCTCTTTATGTATTCGGTTACTTTCTTCAATACGTTTTCTATTCATTTTAGAGTTTTTGAATTTAATTAAAAATTTATATTATTCTATAAAGCTAAATGCATTTAGAATGTATGGGAAAATATGCTAATTTTATTTCTTTAGTAACATGAACATTCAGCTTAATATGAAATGATATATGGTAAGGGCCGGATACAGAATTTTTAGAATTTAGTGACATACCGTACAACAAAATCTAGATATACAAAATATTAGAATTTAGGATCCAGAGAGATTGCATCAAGTGGGAAAATGCGTCGCGCCAGCCATGTGTATGATGCACAGAACCGTAGCTAGGGTTTTCAGCGCCCGGGAACAAGTGAAGATTTTTTGGCCCCTTCTGTATGGCAAGAATGAAAAACATTTCATTCTAAAATTTTGTAACATCAATTTGGCACCCCATGCATGCTGTCCCTGGGGACAGATGTTTCCCCTTGCCTCACCCTAGCTACGCCACTGATAATGCATTGAGACACATGAGATGAATCTTTTAAATTGTCAGGATTCAATTTCTTTATTAATAGAAAAATTCCTTTCATACCTGTTCATGTGATAAAATTAGAAGCATTTTTGATATTTTTCATACTTGTGTCTAGTGCAGGGGTCGGCACCCTTTTCAGTCGGAAGAGTCAAAAATTACAATTTACAAAATTTCAAAGTTTTTAAAGAGTCACAAATTTTTTTATTGCCAACAATAAATAGTACTCGCATAAATAAAGTTTTTTGATTAAAAAAAACTAATCTAATTCAGAAGTCAAACAACAAAAATCAGCGTTATATTTTCAAAATTTTCACAGGACTAGTTTCGATGTTTTTACCGAACCACCATCCTCTGAATTTATTCGCGTGTTAGTGTGTCTTAAAAACTAATCTATTTATTCATATATAAATAGTGTTTTTCCCACAAATTAGATAATATATATAGGGCATTATTAGATAATTATTATTTAAGTAAGAAATTAAAACAATTAAACATTTACTTACAACACTAAACTTGTACTTCAATAACAAACAATTGAGCAAACAAATTCAATGGCAGCGATGGCTTTGCATGGTTATTCAAGTAGAAAATTTTAAACTTTACTAAACAATGTAACTTTGTACTTAAAATTAAAAAAAACCAATAACATACATTTGAGCAAACAAATTTAATGAGGAGTATTGGCTTTGCATGGTTTTAGAAAGTTTGGATAAATTTGGCTCAATAACTTCTTGTTTTAAGTTTCAAAACACGACTCTAAATTTTTATTTGTTAGTTGGCTTCTTACTGTACTTTTAATTATATTCATGCAAGAGAACGCTTGTTCGCAAAAATATGTCGATCTGAAGATAGTCAGCTTTCCAAATGCCAACTTCTTCACCTCACTGTAGCAATCTGGAAGACTGTTCCATGAGTTGAATATAAGTGCCTCAACTCGCGGCATTTCGCTTAAAGCTGTCCACTTTTGTTGCGTTACGTACATTCATTTCTGGACATCCAACTCTTCCAACTTGCTTTTAAACTCTGTATATTTTACACTTCACAAAGCTTTACTTTTTAAATCGATCAATTGCATTTCTAGAGATCCAGTATGAATTCTAAATGGCTCAATGTGGATTTCGTTACTATTTGTGTTGAGAGGATTTACCTAGTTGTGTTGAGAGGAATACTAGAGTATTTTTGTTGGTTTTGAATTGCTCAAATCTGTCAGCAAATTCATCTTTAATTTTTTTATAACTGTACTGAAGTAATTCTTCTGGTTTTATCGCGATATTGCTTTATAAATTGAAAATTAAGTAATTTACCTCTCTGAATATCTTCTGCAAAAAGAATTAATTTTTCTTCAAAAAAAACCAATTCTTCTACCAAAACATAGGCTGGTTTTCCCTTTCCTTGCAGTTTTAGACTCAGCTCATTTAATTTCGCTGTGACATCCACCATAAAATAAAATTTTTGCAACCATTTATCGTTCTCCCATTCGGGGTGATTAATGCCTTTTTCATTTAGGAATGTATTTATTTCATTCAGGCACAAAGCAGAACGTTTCAACACCTTTCCTTTGGAAAGCCATCGCACTTTATTGTGAAGAAGGAGGTCGGAATACTGAGTCTCCATTTCGTTTAAGAATTCTTTAAACTGACGATGTAGAGTGCTTTTGACAAGATGCTGTTAACAATCTTGATTACCAAATTTATGACCTCAACTATTTCTGCCGGAAATGTTTGGCTACAAAGCGCTGCTTGGTGTATTATGCTGTGAAACGTAAGAATTTCGTCGTTTATTTTGCTCTGAAGAATCGTTGTTGCCCCTTTATTTTTTTCTGTCATACTTCTGGCTCCCTCAGTTGCTATTGAAACAATTTTATTTAAATCGATCTTATTGTCTTCAAGGCATTTTTGCACGGCATTCGCTATATCTTCCCCTCTAGTTTGTCCCGAGAGCGGTAGCAATCCTATAAGTTCTTTTGGGTCCTCGGAAGACATATACCTGACAAAAAGGGCAACTTGTGCCGTGTCGCAAGACTCATCTATAGCAAGTGATAAGGCAGAAGAAAGTTGAATGAATATATTCCACCTGCAAATATGTTACATTTGAAGACATTTTAGCTGTTCTATCTTGTACTGTTTTAGCGGATAGTGGCAAATCTTTGATTTTTTTCAAGATTTCTTGTTTGTTTTTTAAATCATAAAACAGTTCTTCACATGCACGTATGAAGCAATATTTGACATACTCACCATCTGTGAATGATTTGCTTTTTTTTTTTTTTTTTTTTTTTCCCCAATTTCTAATGATATCGCGAAGCTTGCCAGATTAACGTTACTTGTGGATTGCGTCCAGTTACTTAACATGGAACTTGATTGCTGTTTTTCTTTTTGGAGCTTGTCGATAGCTTTTTCTTTCGTTCTTCGCCAGCTGGATATTTACTAGCAAACTGAGTATGTTTTTTAGTGAAGTGTCTCCCTAAATTTGATTTCTTATTGTGTGCGAGTTTTTCGTGGCAAATGAGACAAGTCGGAAGGCCATCTGAGCTGCATATGAAAGCGAACGACTGCGTCCAATTCCGATTGAATTCTCGATGCTCTTCTTCAGTTTTTTTTTTTTTTTTAAATATATATATATATATAAAATAAATAATAAAGCCGCAGCTTCACATCCAAAGAGCCGCAGGTTGCCAACCCCTGGTCTAGTGGAAATTAGGCAAAATAAACGGAAGATGAACATGTTAAAAAAAAAAAAAAAGACTTCTAGTATCAGAAGTAAAACATTCAAATATTATGTTTTCATTTTTCTTCAAAATATTATCCAAAAAGTTCATCACAAATTTTCTGTAAAATACATCCATTACGTGTTAATACCATGAAGCCATTTTTCTCCAATCTTCCAGATTCGTGAATCTATAAATCTTGCCTTCAAATCCTTCTAAACTTTCCAAGTTGCAATGCCTAAAATCCTTTACATAATAGCAAAATTTGAAAAATATTTACATTATAAATAAGTTTAGCTAAGACCTAAATAAACGTTATGAAATAAATTCGTGTACAGAAGAAAAAAGAAAAAAAAATTACACTACATGTAATACGGAAAACTTATCAGTTCCTTACATACTGTATTTTCTTTCAGTGACATGCGCAAAGACTGACCCAACATGGTACTCGGACGATAAAAGTAAGTAAAATTTACAGTAATAATATTTCGCTTTATTTCAGAAGCCATGGATTAAAACAATCGTTACTTTTCTGTATTTTTATAGCATTCAAATTTGACTTGACTGTCTCTAAGATAAAATATTTAAAAGATAACCTTTCACGGTTTTCAGTTTTTTTTAGTAAACATTTAGTGTTTTTTTTTATTATTATTCACTGCTTTATGGTGTTTATTTCTTTTTCTTTAACCAGAATGCTTCTATTTTTTTAAACGCACATCTTCCCTAATGCATATTTTAATTAGCACTTAGATCTTTTTTTTTTTTTTTTTTTTTTTTTTCAAATTAAGAAATAAATAGCATTTCGAACTTCTAGAAATTACTATCCTTTAACATTTTAATTCAGTATTAAAGAGTGTTTACACTGAAGCAGAATACACAGACTTTGAAAATGATGCATGCAAATTTTCCGAAAATCTTAAAAGTAAATTCTAAAAGAGAACTTAGATTTTACAGTCTTCAACATTTAAATCAAAAATTCTATCGAAGTGTATATATAATAGTAGATCTTGGAAAATGCAACATATTGATCTTATAATGGAAATTACACTGCAGACATATCACACTTTCAATGAAGAGATGCAAATTTTAATTAGAAATAATACTGTTATAAAATTAACAAACAGAGTGATGGCTAATTGAATTTTGGACTTTATTAACAAAAAAAAGTAAAGAGAATTTACGTACGTTTAATTGTGTACATGACAACTTTTAGAATGACGAAAATAATAGTGATGCCAGATGCATAAAACATAATAAAACAATGATGCCACTGAAAACTGCACATAATATCAATTAAATGCTCGATTCTCAACAATCTCCTTCGAGCATAAAAAATATTCTTTGTTGATATAGATTAACGTTTACTTATTGGCTGATTTTACACCAATCAACTTCTTCTGGAAATGGAACTGAGATGCTGGAAGAGCCTTCGTCAGAATGTCTGCTCGTTGCTCATTACTTCTTACACAGCCTAATTGGAAACGTCCCTTCGAGAACTCATCTTGCACAAACTTGTACCTTTGGTCAATGTACTTTGTGCGTGCGTGGAATATTGGATTTTTGATGTACTTGATAGTACTCTGATTATCAATTTGTAGGATAGGTAATGAGACATTATTAGCTATCTCATTGAACAAGCTCTTCAATCATATCAGGTATTCGTAGCATTAGCTGCTGCCTCAGCTGCTTTCGTAGCATGAACTCTGCCTCTGTCGTCGAATTGGATATGGCCTCCTATAGCTTGCTTCGCCACGTAATTGCACCTCCACCATAGAAAGAAATAACACGTGTTCGAGACCTGCGTGTTTCTGCACAGCCGTTATCTTCATCACTAAACGACATCAAACTTCTATCATCTTCATTATTGTACACAATGCCGTGTCCTATGGTATTGCGAAGGTACCTTAATGTTGCCTGTACGATTTCTTAATCAATCTCTGTAGGATTGTTCAGCTTTCGAGACATCAAATACACTGCGTAAGCAATATCCGGTCGGGTCTCCATCGCCAAGTACAGAAAACTGCCAACTACTGATACGTATGGAATTTCACTGCTGAGAGGCTTCGCCTCCTTGATCTTGATCATGCCGTCGTCATTCGGTTGACCATAGTCGAACTTCAGACTCGACTTCTTTACGGGGATGTGTGATGTCTTAGCATCTCCATATCGCTCTAATATCTTTCTTGTAAATGTTTCTTGGTTCAGGAAGAGTGAGCCGTCTTTCAAACGTTCGACTTGTAGACCAAAGAAACAATTTAACGTCGTTACTCGAATGTTAAAATGTTGCTTGATCTCGTCCATAAATGTAAAGAATGCTGCTTTGTCCTGAACAGCGACAATGCCATCATCAATATAAATCGCCATCAGCATCTTATGTCCATAATCATTTCGTATGAACAGGCAGTTGTTGGCTTTACTTTGTATCATGCCATGTTTCTTCAGCACATCAGTAAACGTGGCATTCTAACATCGTCCAGCTTGTTTCAAGCCGTATAAAGGTCGAAGTATCTTGCATACACGCATACTTCCGTCGTTATAGCTTATGTTTATGCTTTACGTTCACTACAGGCATCAACTTCTTAGAGTTTAAATCTTATCATTCTAACTTGCCATACGGCCATTCACGGTTGTAGAAAAAATTTAGGGCGCTATCACGCCACTCACCCGAAGGCGAAAATAAGAGTCTGAGAGATCAAACAATCAGAGCTTTAAGGTGGCATGTCAAGGTGGCGTACACTAACATAATAAAATTTCAGTCATGAAAATCATCTGAGTCCTGACTGAAGAACATAAAACTGCTTAGTGAGAGATACGAGATAATAATATCTAATTCTTGAGAATTCAGGGTATGAGTATCACGTGACCGGTACTAGCCAATACGGTTGGATCCACAGTGGTAGGCGTGGTGAGTTCAATTATTTACACTTTGTACAAATAACACTAAAAGTCTTTGCCTGTCCAGGCACTAAGTCCATATTCTTAGTAGTAAACACAAACGCAATTCACAAACATGAAATAAATCTTGGTTAAATACTTGGATAAATACTAGGATTAAATGCTTGATTAAATACTTCAGTAAAATGAGATAAGTTGGATAAAACTATATACATATTTACAGCTACCACTTTACATTGTGGTGAAGTGACCTAGGTCGTTTCACGACGCTTTCCACAGTGAGATCATAGTTCTCTCAAAGTATTGACTGGCGCATTCTCCATTTTCTCAAAAAAGTTGAGAGCATCCATTAGAATCTGCTCCGGTATTGGTTTAATTTTTAAATCTTTATAAATGATCGTATTTCTAACATACCAAGGCGCATTAGTCGTTATAGCCTTCGGGTTGATACATGTAGATCTCCTCAGTTAAGTCACCGTAAAGGAATGCCTTCTCTACGTCAATTTGATATAAGTTGAGATTCTCCTAGGCTGCCGTTGCAATTAGAGCTCGAATAGTGTCATAGCGACACACCGGGCTAAATGTGTCTTCGTAGTCGATATTCACCGTCTGGGTGTACCCTTTTGCTACTAAACGGGCCTTGAATCTCTCGATTGAGCCATCGGGATTTGTCTTCACTCTGTAAACCCAGCGATTGTCGAGGATTTTACGTCCGTTAGGTGGCTCAACAAGTTGCCATGTTCCATGTTTGGCATGCGAAGCCATTTCTTCGTCCATGGCTCGTTTCCAGTCGGCGTATTCAGGAGACTTCGTTGCTTCGTCATATGTTTTAGGCTCTTCCAACTTCAGAATGCTGTTATACACATGTCGTAGTCATTAAATCTGACAGGCCGTTGGATAGCTGAACGGTCTCGCAATGTACGCGCAGTCATCTGTGTTGGTTCATCTTCATCAGTGCACAGATCACCAGCCCCCTGTGTGTCTGCATCATCGTGTGCATCTTCCAAAATAAACTTCATACCGCTTGATAGACCGGTGTTAGATGCTAATTTTGAAGGTTGGGAAGTAGGGCCGATTTGCTGTTCATTGAACACTACATTGGCACTTTTTATCGTATCATTCCTTGATGGTATGAAAATGCGATACCCATCGTCATCACAATAACCAACCAAATAGCCCTTTATAGCCTTGTCATCTAATTTACCTCTGTTGACATTTGGTACATGTACAAATGCAGCTGATCCAAAAACTCGAATTCTGTTGATTGCCGGCTTGCGTCCAAACCATTCCTCAAACGGAGATTTTCCCGTAGTCTTACTTGGTCCGGTTCGATTGAGAACGTAGACAGCTGTAGATGCTGCTTCTGCCCATAGGAACTGTGGTAGGCCTGAATCCTTGATCATAGTGCGAACTGCATTCATTATTGTACGATTCTCTCTTTCAACCAATCCGTTTTGTTCTGGTGTATATGGCATAGTGATTCGCAGCTTGATGCCTGCATCATCAGTCAGTTTCACCAATTTATCATTGTCAAACTCACGACCACCGTCTGTGACCAGTTCTTTTACATTTATACCATCTTTGTTGGTCCGAACAAGAAACTGCTTGATTTTATCCACAGCCTCATCTTTATGTCTCAGAAATTCTACATGTCGAAACTTAGAGTAATCGTCCTTAATCACTAACATGTACTTCTTTCCACCTCTTGATAAGACTGGCGATTCGAGTAAGTCTGCATGTATTATCTCACCAGACTTTTGTGTTTTGAATCGTTTTGGTTTAAATGTTCGTCGACTTTGTTTACCATACGCATATGGCTCACAAAATAGTCCATCGTCGATAAAATCTATACCATTTTGGCGCAAGTACTGTTTCACGTACTGTATTCCTTGATGCCCAAGTCGTCGATGCCAAAGTGATAATGGCAATTTTGTCGTCGTCTTCATTGCCGTCTCAGGAAAAGGAGTCGTCATTTCGTTGTCAAACCAAGAAGGCTGCAGCAGCAGAACCCCCTTGTTGGCTTGACTGGTTTTGCACGTAGTTCAAAGAGTCCATTTGATGAACATGGGGCTTCTAAAAGTATATTATCTGGGGTCTCCTTGCGAAAGAAACGACAAATCATATCGTCTGAATCACCAAAGTTCGAGATTCCTCGCTTCATTGCCTTTGAGGCTGATAACAAATTTTTGCCAATTTCTGGTGCGTACAGTACATCAGTCAGCTCAATTGATTTTTGTACGTTTCCAACCATCGTACACATGTCAGTGTCCCCACAGCCAAATGTTGGTATTGTCTGTTTGTTACCGACTGTGATTTCTGCTTGTTTGTCAAAGTGACGGTACGTCTTGAAATACTCGGCTGAATTTGTAATGTGTGCTGTAGCTCCATCGTCTTTAAGCTACACATTTTGGCCACAATCATCTTCTTGACAAGCAAACGCACTGCACTGAGTATTTGCAAAGAAGATCTCTGTTTTGCCATTCGTCGTGGTTGGCTTGTCAGGGAAAACTGGGCAAAATTTACCAATGTGCCAGGGATTATTACAACAGAAACAGATGCCATTGAAACCTTTCACGCCATCACTGGTCTTACTAAGTCTGTTCATCGTTTTGGCATTATTTGTTGTCAAGGGTCGGGATTGGCTGACCATCTGAGGTTTTTTACCACCCTTCTTCCATTTCTTTCCACTATGTTTTGCGCTATAATTAGCATTTGCCACAAATGTTATCGTACTTTCGTTTCTAAGCTCTTGATTTCTTCTTTGCAGCCGCATGTTCATCTGTTCAATCAGTTTTTCAGGTGACTTTTCCGTCTTTGGCATTGACTCCCACTCTCTCTATATATTCGTCATCAGGAAGAATAGATAAGATTCGTGGTGCCAGCAAGTTCTGCGGCAACTTTCCTTCGCCGCTCAACTCTTGCTCACGTTGAAGATCCGCCCACAGTGTACGTATATGTGCGAGTGATTGCATTACACTTTCGTCTTTCTCGATCCGAAAAGTGAAATACTGTTGCAGAAGAGTGTCCAGTTTCACGCTTTGACACCTCAAAATTACCTTTTGCGGCCTCGTTGTACTCGCGTATCGTTTTTTCATTCGCGCTTTCTGCCAGAGGTTTTGGCTCGATAAGGGAATTATCGAAGACGCCCGCACATTCGTTGAGCATAAATAAAGAGTTTATTTCAAATTTCTAATCAGTCCAGTTGGATAAGCCTTCCAATTTGGTACACTGAACAAAATTTTTAGCTTCCATATTACGTCGTCATTAACCAGGAAATATGAAGCAAAAATAAAAAGCTATCGGCACACTGTAGCGTCTACCTACACACTGTTCATGTGGAAATGTTGAAATCGAAAACGAAAGTCGAAAATATTCGTGATTCAAATACGTCAACATAGCCATCGTTAATTTATTTGCGCAGTTAAACGTCGCTAAAACCCATAACCTGTTATAAAATTAACAGAGTGATGGCTAATTGAATTTTGGACTTCATTAACAAAAAAAGTAAAGAGAGCTTACGTACGTCTTATTGTTTACATGACAACTTTTAGAATGACGAAAATAATAGTGATACCAGATGCATAAAACATAATAAAACCATAAACAATGATGCCACTGGGGAAAACTGCACATAATATCAATTAAATGCTCGATTCTCAACAAATATGATTAACAATACATATAAGTAAGGTAAGGCTTAGACACCCAAACGTGCTTCATTAAATTATCCACTTCTTAAAACATAACGTCTCATGGATTCCAGTTTTTTTAAATGAAAATTCAGTGTTCTTTTGCTTATTCATCGTTTTATAGTGTTCATTTCTTTTTTCCTTTTACGGGAATGTTTCTATTTTTCTAACGTAAATCTTCGCTAATGCATATTTTAACTAGTACTTAGATCATTTTTCAAATTAATAAATAACTAGCATTTAGAATTTTAAGAAATAACTAGCATTTAACATTTTAATTAAGTATTATAGAGTGTCTACACTGAAGCAGAAAGCATAGACTTTATAAACTTTTTTTTTTTTTAAATTTTTCGAAAATTTTAAAAGAGAACTTAGATTTTACAGCCTTCAACATTTAAATAAAAGTCCTATCGAACTGCATATAATAAAGATTTGAACTGCGAACTATGGAACTATCTAACTGTAACACATTGTTCTTCTAGTGGGAATTACACTAGAGACATATCACATTTTCAATGAAGAGATGTAAATTTTCATTAGAAATAATATGATGAAACAATATATGTAAGGAAAGTAACATTTAGACAGCCAAATATGCTTCATTAAATTACCCATTTCTTAAATATTTTCTAAAATGTTATCCAAATAAAACAATTGTAGATGTAAAAATAAATTGAAAATTTAATACCTGATGTAACAGATTTCAAAAAAAAAAAAAAAAAAAAAAAAAGAATTTGTCTAATGAATGTTTTTATATTTAATGCAAAATACGTTTTATGCTATTTTTTTTTTTCTTTTAGTAAATAAAGTCGGAATAATATGCATATGTTGGTATAATAATGTGAATGATAAGTAAGTGTAGAAATTGCTTCTTCGTGCTAAAATTATTTTTCCCGCTAGATAAATATGGACGGCACTTTTCAGTTGACTTGAATAAAGACATCATTTATTTCTGCGATCTAGAGTATGACATGCAGTAAGTATTTTCTAGTTTTTGTCTAAAAGTAAACTTAACTTTAAACTTTCTTTAACATTAAATAATTAAAAATAAAAAATGATTTTTTAACTTAGATAACTACGACACACTATTTTAATAACAGATAGCTTGAATTTATTGCAAATTTTGAGAAGATAATTCTGAGTGATAGATAATTCCTTTATTTTTTACTGTTGTTCGTGCAAGTTTCTCAAGCTTTTTGACACATTTTAAATCATCGGCTACCCCTGAACTTTTTATACGAACCCGCCTCGTTAACCAATCATATTCATTTCCTTGAGTTATCCTTATAAATTATACTAATATTCATTGTATTATCATGAATATTAGGTCAAGATAAAGTAACGCAATAGCAGAATTAGCCAAATTATGATACTTAACACGAACAGCCAGTAAAGTTTTTAAATCATGTACACCGCCCATTCACATAACCATACGACCTTTTATAGTAAATACGTAATAAAAATGATCAAAGTGATCATACAGCAACAACTCTTAATTTCTGTAAGATTTCAAATCCCTGCTTACGAAGTATACCCTCAAGAGGAAGATTCTTCGGTTTAAGTGACATCTGGGCTTCGAAAATAACATAGCTTAGAGATAAATTTAAAAAAAAAAAGAAAAAGAAAAAGAAAAGAAAGAAAAGAAAGAAAAAAAGAAAAAAAAAAGTGTTTATACATTTGATACATTTCTTCCGGCTTTTTAAAATATGTCTCCATCTTTAAATTATTGCTATTCAGGAATCCAAAAAGCATTGGAAATTAGAGGATTAAACTAAAAAACGAAAATTAATGATAAAGCACATTTGTTATATAATTCGAATCACTGGCCTGTAAGTGTTAGTTAATTACTATATGAAATACTTATTTATTTATATGTAGAACTCGTATATAAATAATTAAGATCTATGCTTTAAATATTTTAATTTTTTTGCAGAAATTTGGTTTGCTATTCATCAACAGATGCTGGCACGTCTTGGAGAAGTAAGTTTCCCATATTATTTATGAATCATTGTTCTTTTTTTACTAAACTTTATTGATCTGTGAAAATAGAATAATTATTTCAAATCGATAGAATAAATGTATTACATCTACAAGTTCTGGATTAAAATTGAATGGAATGCATTTTGCATAAAATATATCGTTCTCTTCGGAATTATTCATGTTTTTTCATTTTTTAAAGATATATTGTAGGTCCAGGGATTCTCAATTAATGAATCGCTTAATTGTTTAATAGTTTATCATGCAAAAATTAATCGTCAAACTAAACAAAGGGTGCACTCGATCAGATCATATTCGATCTCTGCCAAAGTTCAAAGAATAAATCCTCGGATATAATCATTTAAAGATAGTTGTCAGTTTCGATAACGATAAATCAGGGTCTCTCAACCAGGGGGCTGAAATTCCATCTAGAGGGAATTTTATAGTTGCTGAGTGGGCTGTGTCAGCCTTTTATTTATCTGTTAAGTACTTAGTTTTAGTTTATGAATATAGAATAAATAAGCTGATAATTAATTGATACAGTTCATACAGCTCTTTTAGGTCCTCGTTTTTACTTCTTTCCAAAAGTGCATTAGCTTCCATTCTCTTTTCATATGAAATAGTTTTAACACCATTTGCAGTGCAATACGCTGAGTTTATTAAAATATGGAGACCTTTAGAGCAAGGCGTAGTGCAAATGGTTTAAAAACAAATAAAATATTCTAAAGTGTACAAAAAGTTAATATGCAGTTAAAATGAGCATCGAAAGTAACGATGATGAAAAGAAGACTATAAACCTCTCAATTTCAGTGATATATATACAGAAACAAATGTGTGGAGAAAATATTATAAAGTTCCTGTGAGACAGAGAAAATCACTTAAAGCTAGAAATTCGCTTCTTTAGAAGATGGCGAATTCCTATTATCAGCGGATTCCTATTATCATTCCAAAAAGAAAAACAAAATAATAAAAAAAAGGTATGGTGGAAATCTACATAATAATCTTGAATTCAAATGTAAATTATTTTGTTCTTAAGAAATAAGTGACATTTCAAGATTGGAAAGGAAGAAAAAACAGTGGGAATTTAAAATGTCTTCACTTTTTTATAGACAATAGATTTTAATCTAAGGTTTCAATCTAAGATTACACATTTCTGTACTTAGGCATCAAAAATAAATTACGCTAGAAAAATAATAATTAAAAGATTTTGTTACAATACTTCTGTCGAGAAAATAAAATCTCATTGGAAAGAGGTGTCCTGGTTTCAAAAATCAAATAATAATTAAAATTAAAGACGAAAAAATGAACTCATTCTCCTTTCTATTGCAGGTATGGCAAGCAAAAGCGCTAAATGTTTGTAAAGCTTTAATAGTTTAAGAATCCATATAGTCCCAAATACAAAAGTTGAAACTTCAGCCTCCGCTAATTTTAAGTTATCAGAGCACTTTGTGTTTTAATCCTTTTAAATTCTGAAGTACACAGGAAGCTACAAAATTTCATCTCTGTACTAAACAAGAAAAGTGGGTGCCTTGCGTTCCATAAAGTACTTTCAGAAAGAACTAAAATAGCATTGAAATAGAAAATCCTTATTCTAGAATTTCATATTTTAACGCAACTTGGTAGACAGATTAAAAAATGTTTAATTTGTCTAGACAAAAACGTGGAATTTAACTGAACATTAACAAAAACTTATTTATGACCAGGTGATTCAAAATCGTTAATTCCAACACTATATGACAAGATCGAAATACAGAAAGTCCATATTTATTCGAAATAAAGATTAACTCGAATATAACTCCCCCTTACATTCTGGGATAAATTTTAAGAAATAAAAATGTAGGTGAATATTTGATAGGAGCATGGTCCTGATTAGAACTCATTTGCTTTTGAGCAGCTAAAAAGAAAGTTTCCTAATTAAATACAATATGTCACTAAAGTATAGAAACAAGTAGGAAAAATTAATAATGCATTATTATTAATTTGTTTTCAGGCATATCAATAACCAGTGGAACCTAGATTAAAATCGCTGATTTAGAAGTGGCTATAATAATTACCGGTAGTTATGCAGTTTATATATTCGGCAATTACCTTTGTGGTCGTATGGTTGTACCCCTTCCTCTCATTCTGCAATTTAATTTATTAAAATACCCGATTATAACACCCTAATGAAATTAGCAAAAATTAAATACAAAAGTATAGCAAAAAAGGGAGCCTTATCTTCGATCTTCGAGTAAATACAGTAAGTGAAATTGAACCATTATTATTATTAAATGCAGTATTCTTTATATTCAAGTCAACATTCCTCAACTCATTACTATTGAAATCTCAGTATTTCTTTCCTGCTAATATAATAATTATTACACACACACACACACACACATATATATATATATATATAAATAATTTCCATAAAACATAGAGTCGCATTCTGCTTTGAGAGGCAGAAAAGAGGAAAGTAGAGACGTATCGAGTAAGGACAAGGATCTCCTAAGACTATCAAGACCTAACCATATGCAAATTTGCACTGAGAAGAAGGAACATTTTGCTCTTAATTGGTACCGGGAAAAGCCGATCAGAGCAATTATGCAGTAATCATATGAAATGGATTAATTTTGAAATGACGCAGTTTAGAGATACTCACCATAGGCAGTTTTTGGTTTTAGGAGAGAAAGAATAAATAGGGTACTGCGAATTAGAGCTAGAATTTTGGTTTACCTGTTTTTTAATCTTACACGTATATACTCTTTATTAATTATGCTTCCAAATAATTTCTTTACAGCTCTTCCAAAAAGCATAGGGGGCATACTTGGATGGGACAAGAAAACAGGTCGTACTTACGGATTTGACAAGCGCAAGCGGGCACACGTCGCTTGCGATGACGGCGTTAATTGGCTAGCGGTCGATGAGATGGAAGTCAACAACACGGTTGTTAAGAAAACTTTTTACAGAAGTCAACCCGTGCCAGCCTTTAATAAGGAGGACATCGAAATGCTAGAGAGTAAAACAGGAAGATGGGAAGGTAATGTTTTTAACATAGTACTACTTCATGTGAATGTTATAACATACAATATAAGACGAACTCGCAAATATATCTATATAAATACGAAGGATTTTTAAAGCAGAAGCCCATTAAAACATTTAAGAAAATTATTATCTTTTAACATAAAGATAAGAATGGTTCCGCGAATGCGGAGGCTTATAACCGGAAGCATTTTTCAATTCTCTATTAGGATCCTTTGCACACATTTTCGCGACTGAAATCAACAATAATTTTAGCCATATTATCCTTTCTCGCTCTGAAAACTGGATGAGGCAATTTGCATTGATGTTTGCTATCAATAAGGCCACTTTACAATGGCTTAAAGTGTGATCTGCTTCTCATCATATTTGATAGATACTAAACGGCATTGCTATTTCAGAGATGGCATACCTTAGTTTACAAAAGGCATCTTTCTGGAGTGTGCTATTTCAGAGATGGCATACCTTAGTTTACAAAAGGCATCTTTCTGGAGTGATTTGACAATCGTCGAAATCAAACGAATCCATTGCTTTTTTTACGTTGAGATGAAACGAAATACTGACTGTCAGAGCTAGATACTATTAAGTACACACTTCCAAACAAAATTAAAGCTACAAATGCCATACACTTAAAATTCTATAAAACTTGATGTGTATATTAATTAAGAGCAAAGTTAAAAACATCCATTTGCGTTTTTTTCCTTATGTATGAAGAATACACAGATAAGGAAAATACGAATGTATGAGGTAACTAGCATAGACAGAGCGTGCAGTTAGTTTACATATAATTTAAACATCACTAATTGTCAATAAGCAAAAAGTGGAATAGAATTAAAAACCCTTACATCTTTAAAGAAATCTAGATATATATGGAAATAAAATTAATTAAATCTTGAAGCAATTTTATTACAGCAATAATAAAGAAAAAGAGTAAAATGCGAAACAAGCATTTTTCTGTCTCCATCTACGGAAAGTGACTTGTTACATAATAGAGAGTATATATTACACAATTTAACTTGTTACATAATAGAGAGTATATATTCAAACATTTCGAACAACAGTTCGGAATGTTTGAAAAGATTAAATCCATTTTTTAATCAAACGAGTGAAGTGCTGGCTAGGAGGATCGGAGGTGTGCCCTTATAATAATAATAATAATAATACGAAAGAAGTAAAACTTCAAAAATATATAATACTTTTTGTCTTATGCTGATACTACGAGGGCCATCCAGGAAGTAGATTACGTTTCCGTCTGTGTCCGCTAGGGGCGGGGCTAGCGCGGCCATCTTGGGGTCAGAGCGTTGCGCAGCTCAGTCTGCATCTAGCCGTGCTAGTGAGAGGTTCGTGCTGTGCTCGTTCAGATACTGTGACGGTTTGAAATGTCTGCGTTAATTGAAAATCCGCGAGCTGCGAGGTGCGCTCAGTAATAAGGTTTCTGACTGCAAAAAACTGTAAACCGATAGAAATCTATCGGCAGCTTCGTGAAGTGTATGGGGACAACATTATCACTGAAGGTGGAGTGCGTCAGTGGGTCATAAGATTTCAAAATGGCCGAACCAATGTTCACGACGAAGATCGAAGTGGGAGACCCAGCATAGTGACGCCGAACTTCGAAAAAGTCGATGCTAAAGTCCGTGAAAATCGAAATTTCACAATAACGGAACTTTCTTTGAGTTTTTCCACAAATTCGCGAAGTTTGTTGCACGAAATCATCAGCGAAAAGCTTGGTTACCACAAGTTTTGTGCAAGATGGATTCCAAAAATCTTGACAGAGGACCCACAAAATCAGCGAATGGCTGCAGCGTTGAACTTTTTGGACGCTTACATAAGGATGGTGACTCTTTACTCGATCGCATCGTTACTGGTGACGAAACAGGGTGAAACATGTGAACTGTGAAACGAAATTGCAATCAATGCAGTGGGGGCACACAAGTTCTCCCCAAAAACCCAAGAAATGCATGCAAACAATGTAGGCAAGGAAGATGATGGCGACTGTTTTTTGGGACAGAAAAGGGGTAATTTTGGTGGGACTTCCTGGAAAGAGGCACTACAATAAACTCTCAAAGGTATTGCCAAACTCTCCAAAAACTCAGAAGAGCAATTCAAAACAAGCGCAGAGGAATGTTGAGCTCTAAGATCTTGTTGATTCACGACAACGCCCGGCCCCACACGGCAAATGTCACTCGTAAAGTTCTTGAATCTTTTAAATGGGAGTTGTTTCCTCATCCGCCGTACAGTCCCGACCTGGCACCGAGCGACTTCCACCTATTCCCAGCAATGAAGAAGTGGCTGGCTATGCAGCGTTTTGATGACGACGCACAGCTGCAAGAAGAGATAACGAAGTGGTTGAAGGCGCAGGCGGCCGAATTTTTCGACGAAGGAATTTCCAAGCTCGTACATCGCTACGATAAATGCCTTAATTTGTATGGTGACTATGTAGAAAAGTAGTATTTGAGTGTGGCTTTCATCTGTATATAATAAAATTTGTTTCCTATACTTTGTTTATTTTTTTATTCCAAAACGTAATCTACTTTCTGGATAGCCCTCGTATTTATATGCTGATGTTATTTATATGTATTTATATGATGTTATTTTTTTTCTCCTTAATATCTTTTGCAGCATCTTTTGATGGATTGATGTATGAAGGCAAGTCAGAACCACGAGCACGATGGAGTAGATGTTGCAAGATGAACAAATGAAAGGCTATTTAGCAACGATTTTGAACAAACGAACTTTTATAATTCATTTAGCACAGTGTCTACATTATAGCACACAATAGAAGTGCAAACTATGGGAATAGTATGTCAAATATATGATTTACACATTCAGAATAACATATGCACATGCATTTGGAAATGCTAAAAACTAAAAAAATGATGACTCAAAAAATAAAGTCATAAATTTTTATGTTTTCCATGAAATCAAAACTTTTAAAATGTAAATTTTGTTCAAAATATTTTAAATGCTTTTAATGATTGTTAAATATTAAATGTTTAAAAAGCAAATGTAAAAATATTTTGGAGAGTGTAAAAAACTGATCAGCTATTTTAGTCACAAAATGATGTCTACAACAATACCAATATCTATTTTTTAAATATCAGATTGTATCATAATTTGGGCTAATCTTTAAAGACTTTATGTGACTCTAATATGTGTACAGAAATGATGTAAATAGACTTAGAGATGTAACAGAGAGCTTAATATTTGTTTCATTTTTCATCAAAAAAGATAGAATAAAATTAATAACTGTGAATATATACAATCAAAAAATAAAAGGTTAAACCCATGTATTAGCTCGCAAATTAATTTTACAGATTTGCAAATGTTAATGACATTTTATCACTAATATTAAATCAATATCTCTTAAGAAGTACTTCAAATGATTTCAGCTTAAAATTTTACAATTCATTTAAACTGAAAGCATAATAGCACAGGAGAAAATTCATAAAACTGTCATATTACTAAGAATAATTTTTTTAAATAAAATCTTCTTGATAAAAAAGTGAAAAACAAGGGATTTGATAAATTATGTTTTGCATATACATTTATTTTCCTTACATAACATACAATTTATAAGTAAATAATAGCTAAATAAGTATATAAACTCTAAGATTTTTACTTTTCTTTTGTTACCTTAGCTGATAAATATTCATCTGCAACTAGTCTTATTTTAAATATGCAATAAATTATATTCCAGACAAAGTATATATGTCGAAAAATAAATTAAAAACATTTTAATCTAAAAATAAAGTAAATATAACGGCATATTTTTAAAAGGAAGGGGTAAAGATCAATATAAGCAGATGTTTTTTCTCTATCCCAAAGGACTATTAATTTCATTTTGGCATTTTGCGTCGAATCACTATAAACGGCATATCGCTTTTCAAATTGTTACCACCAAATGTTACAGGCCTGCAAAAAAATTAAATAATGAAGAATTTGCATAAATGTATGTATGTTTCTCGTATTGTGATAAAACAACGGTACCTAGAGCCATCCAATTTTGAATAACGTAATCTTTAACTGAACATGGGCACTTGGAAGCCGAAATTTCGAATTTGTTTTATTACCTATTGAAAATTTTGTAAAACTTTATCGAATTTTTGATTAACAATCTGAATGATTTCAAGGTGAGCAATGGCAATGCTGTAAAGAAAAAAAAATATATCTCCTGCGCCCAAGACTGTGTATCGGAAATTCTAAAGATATACTATGTTTAAAGAATTGTGTGATACTGCTGTTTAATTGAACTTTATAGTTTAAGTGCGAAGAACATGATATTTAATAAATAAAGGTAACACACAAAACGTAAAAAAGAAAAAGGAAAAAAAAAATTTAAAAAAAGAAAAAAAACCCACCACCTTTGGGCATAATATAAAATTTGAAAACTTTCAGGTTTTTTATTTATTTTTCTCTTTTTATTAATTGTTTATGTCTTAAAAACCTTCAAGTTATTTTAAATAATAACCATTATACGTAAATTTTGTTACAAACTGATAGTCATAGCAGGTCATAACGGTTAGCTTTCATAACAATACTGATGCTGTTAAAGTTGCTCAAGTGCCAAGGCGAAGACTTTCACAGAAGTACCTCGACATAAAGTACTTGTAGATACTTGGCAGTTAGAGAAGGAGATCATAAATTCATTAACCAAACCCAACTTATGGAATTCCACTATTAAATATTTATATATCATTTCTACAGATTAACACACATCGCAAATGATTTTAATAGCTTAAATAACTCACGACAGCCCGAAAGAGGCACCGTTTATTTTGCAATAACTGAAATAATCGAATCCTTGCCAAATAACGTTGTCAAACGCCCACAGAAAATACTCTCAAATTCTTAAAATTCGCCCTGTATTAAATTTAAAGAAATTCAATGATGAAAAATCTACATAAATATATGTATGTTTCTCGCATTGGGATAAAACAACAGTATCTAGGTGCCTTGTTTTGATGGTTATAGAGCCATCATATTTTGAATAACGTACATCTCCACTTGAATTTGGAAGCGCAAATTTGGAATTTGTTTTATTATCTATTTCATATTTTGTAAACCATTTATCAGTTTTTGATAAGAAACTCAATGATTTCAAAGCGAACAGTGAGAACAAACACTGTACGAAAAAAAAAACTTTTACCTGCAGCGCGCAAGGCTACGTATCGGAAATTTTAAAGATTTATCGAAAATTGTATACTTTCTTAAAATTATTTTGTGATATTGCTGTTGAATTGCATTTTATGGTTTAAGTGCAGAGAACAAGATATTAAATAAATAAAGGTAACAAACAAAACGTTAAGAAAAAAACACCGCTTTTGCTGTAATATAAAATCTGAAAGCTTTTAGATTTTTTTTATTATTATTTGTTACCAAAAAATTATTTTTTGGTATTAAAATTATGTACATTGTGGGAGGGGGAAAGGACAGTTCTATATCTCCTGCTCCACTGGGCCGATTGACAAAATTCAAATTGCGTTTTTTATGTCTCGAAAGTGCGACTTGGAATATGTTGCACTTTCAACTTACATATAGCATTGTTCTAACATAGGTATTTTGACACACAAATCGGACTTTTTCTGAAATAACATACCAATTTTTTTTCCATATTTTGCTTCTACAACTCAAATTTTGCGTAGGTACTAAATTTTGTAAAATTTGGTGCGAAATTTACGGAGAAATGCAAAAATATATCTTGGCACAGTTTTTCTCTTTTCTACATGTTTTATAGAAAGCAGCACTATTCATATTAGTAGCTTCACTGTATACTGCAAATAGAATTAAAGTGGCCTTTATATTAGATGATCAGCGAGGCCTTAATGTGAGATGACCTTTATATGAGATGATCTCATGTAAAGATCAACCTCACACCAATTTACCCTCTGGAAGTTGGTGCGAGTTATGGCAATACTTCATATTTGTCATACCTCATACCAGCTTCCACAGGGGGGGGGGTTAGAGTGGCATAGCTGCTATATCACATGAAATCCAAATGACAGGTCACAGATTCTCTTCACAGAAACAAGTACACCTACGTTTTAAACTCTAATTTTGGATTAATCTCTTGAAATTAATCTGGAGAAGACCACGTACTTACAACAATCAAATGTTCACAGAAATCTCAATTTTTTAGCACTAGTTTGTTTGTGGTGGCATTATTCTAAATACTTACAGAGAGCTAGACAATTATTTTAGACACATTTAATGACAATGGCTATGCATAAAAAGTTTGAAATGTGGCTGATTCCAGATTGCTCAAACAGATGATGAAAATAAGAATTGAGTTAAAATATTATGCCTATAAACAAGCCATAAGATGCAAAAGAAAACTTATAATAAATACCACAGCCATAGCACATTCAAGCAAATTCCTAAATGAAATAAACACCAAGTTGCAACCATCCTTAATTAAATGTGTAATAATATAATTTTGCAGAATAGCTCAAAACCCTCTAACATGCACTGTTAACATTCAATAGTAATTAGATTTGCCAAGAGATGAAATATAAGTACACCCAGGCCAATGGTACTACAAGTAAAAATAATTCCAATTCAATTGTAAAGAAACTCAATTCAAAATGCAATGGATTCAATTGCAAAGAAACTCATATGTATTCAATAGGTTTAAAATTTTAGCATAGAAAAGAAAGCAATAACTATTCATTAATGAGGTACTGGCTTTCCTAGTTCTACTTTTAACTGATTAAAAATAGGAGTTATAATCAAGAATATAAAATCACATGATAATATTGTCTAAAATATTTTTTCTACACTATAAAATTTATGTTGTAACAAATGAATATCATCGGCAACGCATTCTACCGACGATATAGAGAAAATACTTTGTTCAACGCACGCGAACTTGTGAGCTGTGAACTTTAACTGAGACTTTACAACTGTGTTTAAATTTTGCAAAAGACAAAATGTCTTTTTTGGGTAGGGGGAGAAAAGAAGGTTTAAAACCTCCTTGCCTTTGAACTGGATTTAGTCATGACAGACAATCTAAAAGTGTTACAATTAAAAGAACTCATAACGAAATTCAATAATTATATGAAGAATTAGTGAAAAATATGTTAACAAATATAATAGAAGAAAGACTTGAGAACAAGAAACAAGCTTAATTAGAATGTATTGCTCAAGAAGAAGCTGCTAAGGAAGAGAAATTAGCGAAAGAAAAAGAAGAAGAGCGAAATTATGAATTGGAACGCTTAAGACTTCAACTTCAAGTTCAGAAGACACCCTTCTCCACTACAGCAAGTCCTGTTGTTAAGATTGAAAAAAAAAACCAATTGGGATCTTGAAATAATTTTACTTAAATATGATCCTAAGGATAATGACATTGCCTTGTTCCTAAATCTTTTTGAGAGACAACTGAAGTTTTTTAAAGGTCCCAGAAGAAACTTGGGTTCTGTATTTAGTGGGATCGTTACCAACCAAAATTGGAAAATTGATTGCTCATGAGCCAGAAGAGGAATCAAGTGATTACCAAAAGATGAAGGAAATGCTTCTAAAGATATATAAGCTCACCACTAATAAATTCTGACAACTGTTCGCTCTACATTGGAAGAAACCAGAAAGTACTTGGCGTGATTTCTACTTTGAACTGACCAGTTATTTTGAAAATTGGCTTAGAGAATTAAACATTACAAAATTTGACGATTTGAAGCAGCTCATTATAGCTGACCAAATGTAAAAGAGAGTTTCTCAAGAAATAAGAGATCACTTTTTGGACATTTGGCCGAACTTAAACTCGCCTGCAGAATTAGCAGAAAAGTTGGACACTACGACTGTTTACATAACAATCAAAGCAAAGTTGCAATCTCACCAATTCAAAAGAAAACTTCCAATTCAGAAGGTGGTATCCCAAAATCCCCACCAGTGAAGAAGACATATACCAATGTAACAGATAAACCAACCCTCTCTTTTTATGGTTGTGGCAAAGTTGGATTTACTAAATCAAAATGCCCAGATTGTCAACACTCTTCGAGTTCAGCCTCAGCTCGTTTTGACAATATTTGTATACAAAAGTTAGGCAACAATAAGACAACTGCAGTGATGAATATCCCCATCAATGGAATACATGGCACAGCTTGTGTGGATAGTAGAGCAAGTCATTCAATGGCGAAAAACTGTACCCAATCTTGAAAGAAGATGGGGTAAAGTTCGAGAAATCCTCTTGCACTGTATGTCTCGCTAATGGCAGCCAAACAACAAAAGATGTTTACACAACTTGTGTGAAACTTGGTCTTAAAGGATGGACTTTCCCTTTGACACTAATAGCTCTTCCTAATGCTACAGGTAATCGAACACTGCTTGGAGAAAACTCCTAAAGGAAGCTAGAGTAGTTCTAAATATTCGTGAGCAAAAGTGGTTTTTTGGTGACGATCGAAATCAATACCATTTGCTAAGTCTAATCCTGTGACATGTTAGCAAATCATTGCCTACTATGTTCAGACGAAGGTGAAAAATCTAACTGAAAAGCAGTGAAAACTATTAAATGCCTTATTAGAAAAATATGAAACTACGTTATTCAGAAGTCAAACAACAAAAATCAGCGTTAATTTACAAATTTTCACAGGACTAGTTTCGATGGTTTTACCGAACCATCATCTTCAGTGCAAACCGCAAATGAACAAGATAGGAAAAAATGTTTAGATAAGGTAAGAAGCCTGGACAAGAATAAGCAAGTGGCGCCATCTGTTGGCGAAACCAGAACTAAAACATAATTTCTCTAAAAGCCGAAGGCAAATTTGGATTGGAATTAGGATCGTTAACTAGAACAGAAAGATTTTTATGAATGTGAAATGCCTCTAGAAAATCCAGTTCTCCAATGGAAGATGTTTTTTGAATAATTTTGGCAGCAGAAAATTGAAAGTGTGATTTTCGGACCAACAATGTTGAGCAACAGAAGACTTCTGTGTTTCTTTTTTTCTAACATATGCCTCATGTTCTTTGACGCGAAATTTTAAGGCTCTCTTAGTTTGGCCAATGTAAATTAAACCGCACTGGCAAGGAATCCTATAAATACCCCAGGAATTCATATCCGGAATGGGGGTCCTTGAGTATAGAAGTTGGAATTTATTGATGGGAGAGTAAGAAAAACCGAAAGTTAAATTCTGCAAATATGTGCAACTTTATAGCTAATTGATGGAAAGAAGGGAATGACAACAGAATTTTTATAATCTCCTAAAATAAGAGTGTGGCTTTTAGTGTGGTTGAGATGAGAATTTTTAACTGCTTGATTAATAATGTTGGGTTGAAAAGCCCTGTCAATAGCATTGCTTTTAAATAATTTAGTTCTTCATAAGGGCTAGTTTGGAGGAGCAAACTTGAAGAGCACGGAAAACATAGGAATAAAATGAAGCTAACTTTTGTTTAGTCGGATGACATGATTTAAAGTGTGGTGGAAGGCAAACCGATGAAGGTTTACGGTAAACTGTAGTACTGAAGTTGGATGTGTTACGTGTGACCAGAATGTCGAGAAACGGAAGAGAATTGCAAGTCTCAAGTTCAAAAGTGAACTGAATAGCAGGATCAATGGAATTCATTGTTGAAAGAACTCTATTTAATCATCTTTATTACCTTCAACAGGGTAAAGTATCGTCTACGTAGCGGAACCATGCCGGGAAGTTTAAAGTTTCAAACAATTTTGATTCATAATATGCATGTAGATATCAGCCAGGATGGGACTGAGGGGGCTTCCCATGGCTGGTTCTCCCCCTCCCCCCCCCGGCGAAACTACGTTCTCGCCGGGGGGGGGAGGGGGAGAACCAGCTCCTTACATCGAGCACACACAGGATACAGGTGACTCACCTCCAATGGCTATTACTCTTTACAGTCTATCTCCAGCAAGAAAGGAGATTTTGAAGAAAGAAATCAATGCACTTCTTGCATCAGGCATAATCAAAGAATGCGATTCACCATATGCATCGCCCGTTGTTTTAGTCCCAAGCCAAAGGGGGACATTCGATTATTGATTGACTACAGAAAACTGAATTCTGTGACTAAGTCTGATCCATCTCCGCTGCCTCGTATGGATAAACTTCTTCATAATGCAAAGCAAACTAGATACATGTCTACCATAGACTTAAAATCAGGGTATCACCAAGTTAAGATATACCCCCCAGACAAAGACAAAACTGCCTTTGTATGTCAGTTTGAAGTTTATAGATTCACCAGGATGCCTTTTGGATTGAAGACAGCACCAGCCACCTTTCAAAGATTAATGGATATTTTCCAGAATGGATTAAAGGTCAACACTCTTACTTATTGCGATGGTATTATTGTGATGTCTTCTACTTTTGAGAAGCATCTCGAAGACTTGCGTTTAGTGTTTAATAGACTCTTCAAATTCAAACTTCATGCCAATCGAAACAAATGTCATTTTTCTTGTTCTAAAGTGAAATATCTTGGACATTATACCACAAGTTCTACAAATGAAGTAGACCCTGCAAAGCAAAAGTCCTCCAACAAATTCCTTCTCCAAAGGATGTGAAGCAAGTACATAGACTTGCAGCTGGTATTGCCTCAGGCTTGCAGCTGGTATCAACGCTATGTTCCTAATTTTGCAGAGATCTCAAAACCATTGAGTAATCTCACAAAGAAGCACTCCACTTGGAAATAAAGAGCAAGAGAGAACACTTCTAAGAATGCTGCACAAAATAACCAAAAAGACAATTCTTCCTCTGGCTACTCACCGAGATGTATTCGCAGACAGGGGAGAGCACTGTAACAAATGAATATCGTCGGCAACGCGCTCTACTAACGATATAGAGAAAATACTTTGTTCAATGCATGCGAACTGCAGAAGTAGCAGTTATTGGCTGAACTCTCTAAACTTAAAACTATTTAAAATGTAATTCCATTTTCTGTTTACTCATTTTCATGTATGTTATTATTGTTAGGTGTTAATAAAACGTCATTTAAAATTAACTCCTAATTAATTTATTGATTTTTTTGGATTTTCTAAGGATATAACACAATGTGTTTATTAGCATAACTTTATACACAGTAAAACTGTATGTATTTATATAATTAAGCTTTAGAATATGCCATCAGACTACAATTTGTTATCTGTTGGTCATATGACAATGGAAATGAAAATCTGTTGACAGCATGCAAGATTTAATTTTATTGCTCATCTTTAATTTACAGATGTTACAAAGAGTTTAAACTGTAAGAGAAAAAGACTTCTTAAGTTTTTAAAACTTTAGATAAAAGTTTAAAAATCATCCATTAATACTTTTCAAGTAATAAATAACCAGAAAATAATTAAATCATGTAAAAAATCTCTTTGAATATAACACAATAAAATAATAATTGAAATAAAAATATATTTTATATAAAACCATGTCTATTCCCTGCACATTTTTTAAGTGTTCATTATTATTGAAATTATTATTATAATAATGCATTGTTTACAAAATTACATATATGTACATATATCAAAATAATGTTAAAATTTACTCACATTATATAATGCTATTTATAATACTAAACTATCACATTTATCAATGCATTATAATACCACATTATCACATTTTTCACATTAAAAAGTCCATGAGATAAAAATTATTCATTCAAATGGGTACTTTTGTAAATCTTACAACATAAAAATCACCAATTTAATGCAGAACTAATAATAATAATATAATAACTATGCAGAACGTGAAATAAAAGAATTAAAAATTCAATTGATGCAAGCACTTTTATTCTGTTCCTCGTGTCTTTTATATAAAAAAATTGAACAATACAAGCTTAAAATCTAAGAATTTATATAGAAAACTACTTATCTTGGGAAGGGTTTTCTTTAGCATATCAAAATAGGGGTTATATCTCTACAGGTTACATAAATAGATCAGTTAATTTTAATAATAGATTTTTAAATAAAAATGCATAGCAAATGAAATGATATTTTAATTTCATTTATAAACTGCTTCAGTTATTCATTACAAACAGCATACTATATATATAGTATCGCACAGATTTTTAACTTAACCTTGTATTATACAGGCAAATGAAATGAAAATTATCATAGATACTTAAATTGAATATTGATTGCATTTATAAAAGATGTTAACTACATAATCGCTTTCATAGAATAAAGTATTCTAAAAAATAGTTGCAGAAAATATTTTTCAATAATTTCAAATTTATCAACTAACAAAAAATATTATTCTCAAGGCACATCTGATAAAATCATTTTTTGATAGATTAAGTATTTTTCATTTATTTCAAAATAAAGGATTGTTGTTATAACTTTGAATAATTCAAATTTAGAAGCAAAGATAACTTGCTAATATTCACACCAAATAATTAATCAGATTAAAATTGTTAAACATATCTTGAAAATAAAAAATTATGATAAAATAATACTTTTAAAATGTGCCAGAAAAGATAAGTACAGATTTAAAATTAATTTCTAAACTGCATAGCATGACAAATAAATATACATAATCATACACCTCTTTTTCCCCCCGCTTTGAGTAAAAAGAAGTATAATAATTCTCAGTGACACATTATTATTTATAGCAAACATATAAATGCTGTGTTATGCTATATTACTTTTAGAATTTTTAAACGATATAAATTGAAAGATTTATATTGTGATTTAATTGCATTTTCTGTGTAAAGCCACTTCCACTGATATGCTTAAAACTCCTCACTGAGGGTCAAGAGTTTAAGAAATAGATCTTTCAGGCATCATGGTTCGAAGGCGTATTGCATCATATATTGGTAGCCCAGTGTAGAAAGAAAGTCCAGTCAAATTCTCAACATCAACGACACGGGCAACATTTTTTCCAATCACACTTGCTGCAGACTGGGAGGAAAAGAAATATTAAAAAAATTCCCATTCCTTCACTGACTCACAGAAGTTTTATAAATGATTAAAAACTGCATTACATTACAAAGTTCAAAATCTGGACGCGTTAGGACTTTGGTGATCTGGATTTAGGATTTTCCTGGACATCAGATTATGAGTTAAAATCTAAGATGATATGCAAAAATTATAAAATACGAAATAGTGCTTTATGAAATAATTAAGCATTTATTATATTAAGGGGAACAAAATTCTGAGGATGAAAAAAGCTCAATATTTATTTGCTTGCTTTATTATTTTTTTAATAAGTTGTTTAATTTGCTTAGTTTCTTGTGCTAAAACTTTCTTTTAATTCTATAGATAGACATAATTTCTTATTCAGTTACACACTTCTGTTATTCAAGTCTAGTATTTGCCACATGGAGAATTCCCACTAAACTCTCAGTCGAAATTTTTTCGTTCTCAACAATCTCTCTGTCACTTTCTTTATTATCGGTAGCGATATTTTCTAGCTTTTTCATTACAGATTTCGCTATCCATTAGTTGATTGATGAATAGGTTATTATTATAGCAAACAGAAACTTTTGTTATATAATCTTTCATTTATTATCACTTCTGCACATTTCTTCACAAATTATATTAATTTTAAAATTTCGCATTTTGTTTGCATTATCTGAAAACTTTCAAATTCACAGCTATCATCATAAAGCTTACCTAGCCTCCGCTATACATGATTAGCGCTGTAGCATTAGATTGGTGACTATAGACATATATGTTCCCCTAAATTTATTCTTGCTTCTATCGTGCACTGACAAAGTTAAGCGTGAATTACATTAGTTATTTATTATACTTACGACTATTTACCGCACACACATAATGCTTTTCTGGATCCTGAGTAAACAAATTCCCACATATACCTATGGCATATCCAAGGACAGCATGAGACATTTTGTGGACCGGTGTAGTCTCTGCGGGACCAAAATTTTACAGCCAAACGCCTCCCCAAATCCTAAAAATTTTGCATTTCAGTGTCTTCTCAAATTAAAATCTTTATTTAAACTCCCTTAATTTAGTTGCTCGATGCTTCTCTAAATACAAAAATTTTGCCTTTCCAAAATTCTGCCGGCCGGTGTGAGTGCACCAGTTCTGGCACTGTTCCTGTGATTAACTGAATAACAAATCAGTAATTCATCAAATAGCACTAAATGTAATTTTTTGGCCTGCAAGTATAGTTTACAATTTTTTTTCATACAGAAGCATGAATCATTTCTCAAGCTGCAATGTGTTAATCATCACATGATGATGAAGGCAAATAAATAAGTAATAATTCGGCAGGTTGGCATCAGTCTAAAATGAAATTAAGATTGGGATTCTCCACATGTTTTGCTATAAAAATTTCTTAAAAAAAGGGGGGGGATTGCTTGCAATCTGGAGATTCAGATTTTAGATCATTTAGATATTGAGTTCCAGATTTTAGATCATTTAGATATTGAGTTCCAGATTTCAGACATTGTACTGTATAATAAACACATGCACATATATACACACATATATAACCTGCAATAAATTCACAAATTAGCAATTTTATAAAATGCAAATGCGAATATAAAAATAGTTACAGAAACATATCTGGCTATAAAGCATCTCTAAAACACAATAAACTAATGAATTCCTCAATCAGTTATTAAGATAAAAAAAGCATAGAAGATTTAAAGCACTACTTTTCACAAAAATTTAATTCTTTACAAAGTATAAATATCACAAATATTAAAAAAAAATTAGTGAAAAGAAATATCTAAAATTAAAAACAAATAAATGCATAGTTATAACCTTCATTATTATATAACCACTTTTTTTTACAAAAGAATTCAATTTAATAAAATACTTACTTCACAGTTTTGCGTGTATGGATAATTTGGTAAAAGGAAACCATGAGCTTCTAACTTTGATGGACTGCAGTCTTTTAAAGGTATTGCTTTTGTGGAGCACCATGTTGCTACAACAAATATATGAGTTGGTACAATAATTGGCCCAAGCTTTCCATACTTCCTAATTTAAAATATACTGTTTTTAATATTTCTTCTGAAATAATGAGATAAATTTATTGCATAATATGTGATAATAATATTAAGTCATTACTGATACTCAGTAATGTAATTTTATTTTATAATTTTAAACATAAATAAATGTTGAAAAAATATTAGACACAATTTCAGTTGTAATATAATACAAGATAAATATGGAAACTTGTAAAAACACATGCTTCTCTTTAAAAATGTTTTCATTCAGCATTAACTGTATTTATAAAATATAATCTGGAATCACTAAAAACAATAGATGGATAAACAAACAACAATGATAAATAAACAACGATGGATTTAACTATGTTTTCCACTAATACTGTATCAAAGATATCATCAAAGATATTTTCTGACAGTGATATAGTGGATGTAATTTGGATAATTATGTTTACTTCAACTCTAAACACTGATTACATAATAAAGTGTAATCATGCAATTTAAATGTATCAATGAAAGGTAACTCAAAACATTTTTCCAAAACATCTGAAACAATAAAATATTGATAAAATAAAATATTTAAATTATATACCCATAATAAGAAAACTATTTTTATTGCATAACTCCGAATTTGAAATCATAATACTGAAACTCATAGGCATACACATTTTATTCTTTATAAAATTAATTTTCCACACAAGAAAAAAAATTCAATATCAATGATGATATAATAATTTTTTTAGGAAAATTGTAAGATAATATCCTCAAATGTAAATAAGTTTCCTACTTCGTTAACAGAACATTAAATTTAATTTGTTTTATTGAATATAACAAATAATAAATAAAAAGATGCAAAATTATCTATTCAGTATTGTAACTGTTCATTAATATCAGAAAACTGAACAGCTAAATCTTCATCAAAAGTATATGATCCCTAACTTGATCATGCAGGTTTTTTTTTTTTTTTTTTTTTTTTTTTAAATATTGTGAATACAAGACGTTATCAAGGCAAGTAACTGCAAATAATTTATCACAAAAAAATCATAAATAATTTGCCAATTCTTTGCTTTTCATATGCTTAAATGTGTTATATATACAACTATACATATATAAGGCAGTATCTATAGCAGTAGTGATAGAATTAATAATCCATTCATATTTTAAAATTTAATTTTAGGCTGATGGCTATAATTTGCTATTAACACTTCCATACAGTATTTTAAACTCCTGCTATTCAAGAAAACTTGCAATCATTAAACACAATGTTCACTGCTACACAAATTTTAGATTATTTTCCATTTTTGTGCTATAAATTTATTTATTACATATTTGTGCTACATATAAAAATTCTTTATATGCGCAGGATAAAATGTATTGCATTTGCAAAATAAAGAATACCTCAGATTTACTATAAGCACATGAAAGTTCATTTTCTGAAATTCTTCTTGCATAAGTATATCTTGTTTTCAGCTGATAGATTATAACCAAGAATTTATTCTTCAACTTATTAGTTTTAATTACAAAACAATGATAAATATTATTATTTAATTGCATGTTTTTTAAAACATTTTATTGCTATTCAATTACAGGTTCAACTGGATCTTACACAGTGGAAAATTTACAATTTGTTATGAGATGAAACATGATTTTTTAAAGGATGTTTTTCTTAATTAAAAATAAATGAAAATTTCTTTAGAAATTTAGCAATTAATGAAACAAAATAGCAGCATTAATTACAAAATATGTTAATGACTAAATTTAAAAAGATTAATTTCAGGAACTTTTATTTACAGTTTATTCTTATACTGATGATAAGTGGAATGCAATATCGGTAAAAAATAAAGTTATTTAAAAAAAAAAAATTAGTGGTATTTTTCAGGTGGCTTCTAAAAATATATCACGACTTTCTGTCTCTCTGTTATTCCTTTCATTTGCCCTGTCAACAAAACAAAAAAAAATATCAAACTCTAAAAAGGAAAGCATACTCAGATATGAAAATTTATAATGCTTACTGTTTCTTGCTTCTTCTTCTTCTTTTTTTTTTTTCCCTTCCAGATTTTTTTCAGAGTAAGTATATATATACTTTTCCAGAGTAAGTATATATATATATATATTATATATAATATATATATTATATATAATATATATATATATATATATATTTCTTTTCTTTTCTTTCTTTATATATATAGATTAAAGTGAGAAAGGGGAAGTCCAGGTTTTCACAAAAGTGGGAAACTTAATATTTAATGGCATCTCATGGTTTTCTTCCTCCCCACTAATAACTCAATATTAGATGTATGATAAGTATATCTAGAATACAGCAATAGGTACAGGAATTCTAAGAATTTCGTTAAAATAAATTTCTATCAGACTGTTACTGTTCTCAAGCTTAGCATTCTTTGTGGATGAAAACAGAACAATTTAAACTATTTAATTTTATTTGCATTCTGATGTATAACTTTTAAATACAAAAAAAAAGCTTGAAATTTATGGGTGGGTGTTATATGCCAGGTAAGAAAATGATAAGATTCAAAATTAAGAAAAATATCAGCATACAAAAATTAAATTTCTACATGTACCTAAATACTATTTATTTAAAAGAAATGCCATACTTTATGGACTTAAAAAATTCATTATCAGTTAACATGAAAAGTTCATCATAGTGGTCTCCTGTTATATCTTCAGGTAAAACATCAAATTCTGTTTCATCTTTACCACCACTATTATTCTAATCCAGAACTAAATTATTATTTTGAGACTTTTGAATTATGCCAGGTTGATTTCATTTCATGCTTTTATTATCCACTCACACACTATTTCAAGACTGGCATTATTCATTTGGCCTCCTTTTCCAAATGTTTTTTCCCCACTGTTGTTTTAAATTTTCTTTGAATGGTTTACTGATATACACATCTAAACAAATGGCATGCTGCCCATCTGGGATAGTGGTTATGATGCTGACTGCTGTAGTGAAAGCTGGCTTCAAATCCCAGAGAAAGCATGGATGTTTGCAAATGCATAGTGTCTGTGCAGCATAGGGACACTGTAGCAATATGCGGTGAGCCAAAAGTCCTCATGAGAGTTTGGTGGTTTGGGTAGAGAGGTGGGAGATCCTCAGACCCGTCACCCCGGAATGCTCTCCAAAATCAGGGGCATAACTGTCACCTGTATAGTGCTCAAGGCTCTAGCCAACAACAGGCATAATCTGCACTCCTTGCCACGATGAATTTCTTGGCCTTGTTCTGACATTACTATCAGACAAGTGAGATAAGTCACAACTACAGCAACTAATGGCATTAATTCACCTGGAATAACTGCCATATCTGCATTATACTATTTCATTAATTTCTTCGTATTATCCATAAATAGGATCTGAACATCTTCCAAACAAAAAAGACTTTCTGAATTCTTGAAGGTAACAGGATGCTTTTGTCAAACTTTTATCCACAATTTCACACCATTTTCGTACATCCATCCCTTCCCATGAGCATGAATGAAAACAACATTAAAGAAATTACATTTCAGTATAATTTTTCTTTAAAAAATAACCATGAGTTTTAATTTTGTATCATTCGCTAAGCAGGAAAGCACTGCAGTGAGGTGATATTTTTCATGACTTGTTGTTTCCATGTGAATCATTTTTGCTCTTTCATATGAATTCTTTTATTTGCTATCAAACATTACTGGAGTTTCAAGAATATTCCCAATATCTGAGAGTAAATATATGTATATATTACCTTAATAAGTAAACAAGATACTTCTGGGATACTTCAATTTGTTATTCAAACCTTTTGGAGCCTTTGTGAAACTTCTGTTTTTTCTTGCAGAACTAAATTATTCTGCGAAATAAATCGACTCCGCCAACTAAAAGTTGCTTTTAAGTTTTCACTTCTATTTGCACTCCTTTTTGCCAACTTTAAGGCAAATAAATATACGCAGTTTCACCTTAAAATTAATCCATTTTGGCAATTTTCTAGGACCCAGTTTGCAACACTTTCTTATAGGATACGGCATTTTGCTACTGCTTTATGCAAAGAGCATTTATTCTTTGGCATATTAATTATTGTGATTTCCATTTTTCCTGCTCCTCTATGTAACTTTCATTAACTCCAAACATCCTTGCTCAACATGATATCTATTTTCCTTCGCAAACTGAGCGAGTTTGCAACTGGAACCAGCACAATGTATGTTTCGTTGGGCACGAGCCATCGCTACTAAGGGGAATACTAAATAAACTGTATTTCAACTAGATCAAATGTGATTTACTTAAGTCTTTGATGTTCACTTCAAAATCATAGCTTGAATTGACTATGTAATGTCTGGTGACCGTAGGTTCGATTGTACACTGTGAAAAAAAAGAGGGGGGAACAGTTTTATATCTCTCGTTCTATTGGGCCGATTGACAAAATTCAAATTGCATTTTTCATGTCTCAAAAGCATGATTTAGGATATATATTAGATTTATATATAGCATTGTTCTAACATAGGTATTTTGACACAAAATCGACCTTTTTCTGAAATGACATTTTGTTCCTATATTTCGATTCTATGACTTGCATTATGAATAGATATTAAATTTTGTAAAATTCGGTGTGAAATTTATGGAGAAATTCAAAAATTTATCTTTTTCAGTTTTCAGTTTTCACCAAGAATAATTCACTTGGCGAACTTCTTAATATATGGCAACCGATTTTCCTTTCCCTTCTATTATGCCAGAGCAGGAAAAAAGGCACCTATTTCCTACCTTTTTACATTGTGCATGAGCAAAAAAAAAGTCACATCGTTCCTACTTTCAAATCATTTTACCAATGCATCAAAATCACATTTGATGTTTTATCGCTTTCAACAAATATGCAAAATTTTAAAATGCACCAATATATAAATTCACATATAGCTTCGGAAATTTTGAATAAAAAACTACGATTTTTTGCAGGTATCCTTAGAAATAAATCTACTTTAAAATGATGGTAAAAATTTTATAGATTATAATTCAATTTTTTTTTTGAAAAATTTATAAATATTATTTTAAAATACAAATTTTTAAAATAAATCATAAATAATGGGTAAATTTTATTTGGAATGAACCTGAATTTCGAAATGTGAAAGGAAGAATCAAATAAGTTTAAACAAAGAGAGATTAATAAATATATACCAAACTCAATTGACATTGAGGAGCTAAAATTTTGAGATCTAATTTTTTAAAAACTACTTGTGCGATTTTTACAAAACTTGATAGTTCAGTGTAATTTGAGTTGTAGAATTGAAATATGGAAAACAATTAATATGTTATTTCAGAAAAAGTCCGATTTTGTGTCAAAATACCTATATAAGAGCAATGCCATATATAAATCTAATACATATCCTAAGTCGTGCTTTCGAGAGATGAAAAATGCAAGTTGAATTTCATCAATCGGCCCAGCAGAACGAGAAATATAGAACTGTCCTTTTTTTCAGGGGAGGAGAAGGCGATGTGTACCTTAAAATAAAATGTGGAAACATACATGATGACAGTTTAAATAAAAATATAAGAAATAATTTCATTAATTACATAAATTATATTACATTTTCTTCTCTAGTAAATGTTAATACTTTAGTAGCTGTCGAATTTATGTAAAAAAAAAAAAAAAAAAAAACCTCTGTGGTAAAGAATTCATTTATCTAAAAAATATTTATTAAAAATATTTTTTTTAACTTTCTTAGCAAAATATTTAACACAGTAATAAATACAAGTTGTGGTTATAAGGATGCTGTGAAATTGTTCAACTTTAGAAGTTAATTGTCACCATTTAACAGCTTTTGTTATGAGGACAAGTAATGAACAATTGCAGTTACTATATAGGCAGTTTTAGGCATTTTGAGTTATTGATCTGACAACAGAATGATAAATGTAAAATTATTTATCATCTTCATATGCTAAAAATATAAAAATCATCAGAAATCTTTTAAATGTTACGAAACTATACTGAAAAACATTTTAAATTAATTTATTAATTAATATTTTAACCCCTTAATGCACTCTAATTAGTTATTTTTTTCTGTACACCTGAGTTAATATATCCAAGTCATTTTTTTCACATGCAAATACAACTGAATATATAAGCTACACTTTTCAACCTATTTGCTTTCACTTGAGAAAATCTGCTGCCAGTGTATATCAGCTATTGGTTTGTGCAGACACCTCTTTTTTACTGTTGCCAGGACAAAGGCCATTGTTCTCATTTTAGTAGGCTGCATTGAATCCCAGCCAGAAGGTTTTATTTGCATATAATATTTTTGCAATTTATCTTTAGATAACCCATACCATGGATTAGGAATGAGACTTGTAACACAATTCAGACAGATTACAGCCACAGCAATTTGAAAAATTGATGTTATTTCTGAGAATGAAAGTAGTGATGATGAAAGTCTTACTTTGGCCCAGCATTGGTATCTGTTGCCATAAGATACTCGTCCACCCTACCAGTTCCATGTTTTATAATTTAAATTGAGCACACAGTGGTAAATATGAACTAAAAAAATTGTCAATAATTGTTTTGTTGCCCAAGTTAACTTGGTTTAAAGACATATGTAGTTTAACAAGCTTAAGGATGGAAAACATCTCTATTAAATTTTATGGGCTATATTAATGTACTTTTGCGTAAAACTATAAAAATAAAAAAGTTAGAGGAAAAAATGACCACTTTCTGAATTTTATTGGTGCATTAATGAGTTAATGAACTCAAAAATATATAACTGTACACTTACCTTATATTTCCTACAGCAGGTCTCATGCCAGTAGCATGAAGATCAAATGCAGGGCCCATGATGACATTCAGCTGACCTTGTTCTCGTGCCCACTGGCTAAGAATTTGATTTAATTTCTTTTCTAATATTTTTGAGTGATTCATAGATTTTGGAACTGAATTTGTTACAAAAGTTGCTTCATCTCTCACACTGGCATTAGAAAATTCTGTTAAAAGAACAAAGATTTAAACACAGTATTCTGAAGTGTATTAATTAGAGCTATTTTAAAACAAAATATATAATACTTTGATTCAAAGAACCATTTAATTTAAAATAGTACTTAAAAACTGCAAAGATTTTTATTCCTTGAAGAAAAGCAATAAAAAAAAAGCATTACAGAATTAGAGAAACAAGGGAAATACAATCATGGAAAAAAAAATCACCAAATTTGATATAAATGATTTTTTTATTCAAAAAAAAATCTTTTTTTGTAAATATCATTTTTAACAATAAATTCAAATTGAAAAGGAATGTCAATTTTTTCAAGAAATACTAGAGAAGTTCACAGTTCTGTAAAATCTTTGCTTGAATATTAATCATAATCAATATTTTGCAGTCTTTAGCTTGAAAGTCTTTCATAAAAATTGATGTTGACAATGGAATTGAAACTGTCTCGACTGCCAAGTTTCTTAGATATTACGAACTCAGCATATTAGCCTACTACACAATCAAAATTCTTCCTCTTCAGTATGGATCTATGATCTATTCTATATAGCTATTACGCATCAACACTGCTCCGGCTTCTCCTTGCTATTATTTCTGTTAGTTGGTATGATAGATTACCTGCAGCCTGAGACCTCAATGGAAAATTTATTTAGTCAGTCCTTCAAATCATCATTTTGTGATAAATTCAAAGGCCGTGCAAAATGGAATGATCTAGAAATGACATTAATTAAATTATAATAACTTAAACTATAATTTTATTAGTTTAGTTCTAGTTTAAATTATAATTTTGTTTCAGATATTTTTTATCCTACATATATATTAGTTAGTGACAGAGTTAATTCCTAGGTTTGTTTATTTGTTGTCTAGTCTATATTTCATGGAAAAACGATTGCCAGATCTTCAATGAGGTGTAAATTTCCAGGTTCACCTAGCAATTAACAAGAGAGATGAAGTACATGTTTACGGTTTTTTAAATCACTTTGTTTGTTAATTAGTAATAGACAGATTATACCTGAAAGGAATATTAAATATCTTACATTTTGCCAAATGGCAACCCATTTGCATGTAGGAAACAAAAATATTTTATTTTGGGCAGTGGCAACATATTTCCTTTTACATCGTTAAGTTTATTGATTAAATTCAGAAAACAAATATTTTTACAAGGTGCAACACACTGCTTTTAAACTGCTGAGTTTAGGTATTCTCCCAATACATGATCTACCTAACTTAACTGTGTAATTACATTATGGATCAATAGGTAGCACCACTAAAATTGTTTTTACAATTTTTTTTTCTTCTGCCATTTTATTCAAATTAGCATGATCATATTTATTATTATTTAATATTAAAAATTTGTTACATTTTGCAAAACATTTATTTCTTTTGCTGTGTTTTATGCTGCATGTAAGAAAACTTTCAGTGTGCAAATAAAAGGGTGAAATTTTTTTTAAACTAGATTATCTGGTTTAAATGGTTCAATGAATAACTCAATATTAGTATAACTAAAAATGATCCCCTAAATGCTAAAAGTTTCATGCGTATAGTGAATGAAACAGATAATAGGTAAGATAAAGCACACCTGATTTTATACTGCTATATTTAGTTGTTTCAAAACCTATTTACCTCTGCATACAATGTGTTGTATGCAGAGTATTAAAAAAAGAGATAATGAATTTAAGAGAGATAAATTAAACACTGTTGTCACTTAGATAAGAGTTATTTTATTTCAACTCTGTAATGTAAATGTGAAATTTAATTTGAGAGTATTGATAACAATGATTTGAAGACAGCATTTTAAAAACTCTATGCAAATTCAATGGAAAAATTGCATGTGAAAGAAATGATAAGCATAAGCATTGCCTTTACAGACAAAATACTCTGAAAAAGATGTGGTGCCATCTAGTATAAAACTGATTAATTAACTAACGAAATTTGGTAGATCACTAGTTGGGACAATACCCTGAGTTTATTAACAAAATTTCATCTAGTTTGCACAAAACATTAAATAAATGCAAACCAAATTTAAAATTAGAGCTATGCACATGCTCAGGTGGATGAGTTTATGTATTCAAATGGTGTTTCCAGATTGCCACCGTTTTTCCACAATGCAAGGAACAAACGTAATACACACATAATTACAGATTCATTATTATGTAACAGAAGAGACTGCCATTAATAAGACCACACATATCATCATTATTATATACAAAAAGACATAATGCAGAGCTTGCTGAATGAAAATCCTATAAGTATTTTCTATTGCAATTACACAATGAAATACTGTCATAAATCATAAAAAATCAAAATTAAACATTATTAAATATTTCTATAAGACATGCACACTGTGCATCCAAAACACTGAGCACAGAATGTCCAATGCACCTTAATGTTACAGCACATATAAACTGAATACATTTCATGCTTAAAAATTTACTTTTGAATCAGTTCTACATGAAATATAAATGAAATTACATGTGTATACACTACAGAACATTTTAACAGTAGCATACTGATACCTTAAGTTAATTTTAAACCTGGATCCCAAAATTCATCTACTAATATTTTAATTGTTCACTAATAATTCTGATAAACTGGTATAGAATTAAAAACTGTTTCGACAGTTTCAGGGTATGAAAGCATTAGGAATTAATCCCAAATCTTTAAGTATATAAATTAAATAATTCATTTAAAATTTCACATATATTTAATATATTTTGCAGGGTAATAATAGCATATATTAAATTTTGATGTTCCATAATTAATTTATGTAGAAAATAAATGAAAAATGTGTTTATAGTATACCTATACTGCTTCTTTGAAAAAAAGTGCTCCAAACATGATCGAATACCTTAAATTAAATCCAAATAAACATTCCTGTGTGTTTCAGACAGCTTGAATGTGCATAATGTAACACATGCAATTTTCTAAAATGCATTTTGTTTATAATTTTCTGCTTTGATATTTTAGCTTCTATTTTAACTATTTTAAACTAAAGGTAAAAGTAATATTTTCCTTTTTCATTTTTTTATGATGCAGTCATAAATGGAAACCTTACTAACCAGGAGGGTATAAAGGTCTTTGAAGAATATATTGGTTCTTAACAAAAGATGTATTATATTCTCCGCATTGTGGCACATCATTAATGGGAATTCGGGCATCACCCATCCAGCAAACATCTTCAAACTTGCTGATATTTTTCTAAAGATATATTTAAAGATGTTTAATTTAATAAAAATTATATAGAAAAAACAAAAGCATGAAAATTACAATCTGCAGATTTTCGTTTAGAGCTTGATACCATAACTAAAAATTAACCTTAAAAGTTAATTTCTTTAATGTAAAACATCATAAATATTTTTTTTCAAATATAATTCAGTACCACTTATATAATATAAGGCATTAGAAAAACTTTTTTATAATTATAACAAAGCTTAAAATTAACAGCTGCCTATATTGTAAATTAAATGTATTTCAATTTACAACAATTATTAAAAAATAAATAAAGACTTAAATTATTAAGAAGTATTTTTATTGCTTTTAAGTCTATTAATCAGAAACAGACTAATAAAATTTGGAATAAAAATTAAAAATTGTGTACTTTGCCAAACAGTAACACACTGAGAATCCTGTAAGCACCTGTTGGGTATAGAAGATAAATTACAGATCTTATGTTTCTTGCAATTGAGGACACTTGATAAAGACCATTTCCAAATTCTTTCCTACCAGTTTCCAAGGCATGATTGTTATGGATTTTATTTTACTGAGATTGGATTTTACATATTAGGTGAAAATAATGCATTTTCTTTCAGGTTTAAAAATGTGTTCCTCCACTTCCAATAAAGAATTTTAAAATTGTTTAAAAAAATCTAATTTAGATTTACATTTAATTTAACACAAATGATTTTAAAATTAAATATTTTAATATTAAAATTCAAAAAAGTTTTATATTTTTTCCACATAAATTCTGCAATTTCTAGGATACATTAATTTAAAAAAAGGAAAAGATGCTAATTACACATTAATACTTCATATGGTCTGAGTAATCAATTCTGTCAATACTTTAGGTTGTTTGAAATACAATTAACTTGAGAACCTAAATACCCTGTATTCGTAATACGCACCTATAATTTCAAACTACATTTTTTAATATTTAGGTATAGTCGCCATATAACGCGCACCTTTCCTTTAAAAAGAAACCTGAAAGATACATGTGTGATGCTTTTTCATTTTGAAGTCAATCACTCAAATATTTTCAGAGTCTTTGGAACAATGGTTTACAGAATTGGCAAGCAATAAGGGTAGCAATATGTGTGGGGGGATGCTCTCCGGAGTAAATAATTCTGCAAAGAAGGTGGGTTGTTTTGAATGCAAGTGTGCACATAAATGTTATTCTAGAGTTTCAAGAAAAGAGGTATAATTTGGGATAAGAATGTACTTCTTACCTGAATAAATTCACGGAATTAGGAGTCGGATGTTTCGCTTTCTGTGGTCATCTGAAGCCATGATTTTGAAATGAACATTGCAGACTTAAGTAAATCACATTTGATCTAGTTGAAATACAGTTGATCTGGTGTTTTTTTAAAGCAGTAAAATGTTTTTTAGCAAAAATATGGCTTCTTCTGTACAAAACAAACACAGTGCTGGTTTAAAATTTTAATCTGAAAAAAATGGAAATTGTGATGCAGCAAGGATGAGTGTTGGTGAAAGCTCCATGTATGAATGGAAGAAAAATGAAATTACAATAATTAATGTGACAGAGAATAAATGTGCTTCGCATAAAGAAGTAATGAAACTGCCTACCCTAGAAGAAAGTGTCACAAACTGCATTCAAGAAAACTGCCAGAATCGATTAATTTTAACAAGAAACAGAATACGTTTATTTGCCTTAAAGTGGGCAAAAAGGAGTATAAATGGAAGAGAAAACTTTAAAGGAATTTTCAGTTGGTACAGTTGATCTACTTCACAGAATAATTTAGTTCTATGAGAAAAAAACTAAATTTTTACAAAGGCTTCCAAAAGGCTGGTACAACAAATTGATAAGTTTCCAGAAGCATATTATTGACCTACGAAAGAAAAAAATTATTTACTTTCATTGGTTGCAAATATGGAGGAAACTCCAGTAGTTTTTGATATGATAGGAAGTAAAGGAATGGATGTGAAAGGAACAAAAATGGTTCACATAAAAAAAAAACAGGTCAGGAAAAATCTCGCCTCACCATAGTAATTTCCTGCTTAATGAACGGTACAAAACTAAAACCCATATTAATTTTTTAAAAAAGACAATACCAAAATGTAATTTCCCAGATGGTGTTTTCATTCATGTTCACAAGAAATGATTGATGGATAAAAACAGTGTGAAACTGTGGATAAGAAATGTTTGGCAAAAGTATCCTGTTGCCTTAAATAATCCAGAAAGTCTTCAGATTCCATCTAAGAGATAATATGATATATTGATGATAGAGTGTAACACAGACATGGCAGTTATACCCAATGGATTAATGCCATTAGTTCAGCCTTTAGATGTGTGTGTCAACAAACCAGTAAAAGAAAATTTAAAATGACAGTGGGATACATGGATGTTAGAAGGTGAAAAAACATTTATGAAAGAAGCCCAAATGCATCATGCAGTCTTGAAATAGTATGTGAATGGATACTAAAAGCACGGAATGAAATTAAAGCCGAAATAATTAAAAAATCATTTAAATATGTGACGTGTATCTGAAAATCTAAATGGAATGGAAGATAACTTATTTATGGATCATGTAACAGTGATGGTGAAAATCAAATAGAATTTGATGATGTACCTGAAGACGTAATGAGAGACGAATATGACAAACTTTTCATGTTATCTAATAATGTATGTCCATTCTTTTAAATAAACAGAATTTAAATACATGTAGAAATCTAATTTTTGTATGTTTCTTTTCTCCTTATTTTTAAATCTATCATTTTATCATTTTTACATATGCAGCCATAAATTTTGATCTTATTTTTTGTATTAAAAAGTGCATGTTATACACTGAAATATTAGGTACATACAAAAATAATAATTGGTTCATGAAAAACTTCTATTTTTTTCCCAATAAAAAAATTCAAATGTTTTTATTAAAATTATTTTTAAAATGCATGCTTTTGCGATTCATTTTTTGTTTTATAAAAATACACTATCAATGACTGCACCTTTTTTTTTTTTCTTTTTTCTCTTTTTTCTTTTTTGGTTTTCTTTCTTCATATATTTCTCTGCAGCAGTAAGTGCAATATTTATTGTTTGTTGAATTGTAAGGCTAAATTCAATGTTGTAGTCACTTTCCATAATATGCTCTAACAAGATTTCAACTATAAATAATTTTCAGGGGCTGTCCAACTGTTAATTTTTAAGCAGGCATTTCAGTTCAGGCATTGTTATCTAAATTACAAACTCATTTTTTATAAGCCACTGCTCATCTGTGTTAACACATGTTTTATTAGATATTTCATTAGCATTTGATTTTATGCATTCAATTATGTTGATGGAATCTAACTCATTGAAAGCAAGATGCTGTCCAGTCTCTACTATGTTATTAATGACTTTTATAAAAAGCAAAATAAGTTTCAAAATCAGTTAAATCATTTTTATAGTGTAGTGTATTTACCCCCCCCCCATATTGCTTGCAATTCATACCTTGTTTTGTCTATATTCTCAATAATAGTTCTGATGTTGAAGCTCTTCAAAAATTCTGTTAAAAATAGGTACATTCTCTCCTACTGTAACTTTTATGGTGCTTACGGTTTTAGTCTTCTTTATTCAAGTGCATCTGTTTTTATCACTACTTTTGATAAATAAGAAGCTGTAATCTTGCACTTTGTATTATCTTTCTTTTTAATAAATTTTTGAACTTACTTAACTATCCCTTTCTCATGACCTATTTTAACAAATGATGCACCTTCTTCATGAAGCTTGATTACATCAAGCTTTTGTTCCAAAGTGAGTCACTTCAGATTTCTTAGTGACAGAATCATTCTCACATTTTTCTGTATTAATTATTATTACTTTAAATGGGTATTAACATTGAATTATCGCAAATGCTTATACCAGAAGTGGGGAATGTGCGGCCTCTAGCTCTTATATTAATTAATATTTAATCTCATAGATTATGACAATTTGGAAATTAATGTAATTAAATAACATGCTGCCACTTGAGCATAACATGAACTAGAATGCTGTAGCATTGCAGTTCTAGCAGTCTTTCACAGTCTGAAATTATTGTCATTCTGGTGCACTTTTCAGTTGGCCAACGCCCAACAATAGAATATTTTAAACAAATAAAACATTTTATATTGTACATTTTTATTTAATAAATGACTAATGTTTCTTCATTATGCAATAAAGAGATGAAACTATACAAAACTATAATAATTTCACAAAAGTCACATTTACAGGTATATTGACTTACACACCCTCCTTTATCACTGTCTAATTTAAATGTGGCCCCTCATGGCAAAAAGGTTCCCCACCTATACCGTAGATTTGTATATCAATAACTAACAGACAAAAGTTAATTCAACATTGATGTTTAAAAATACCCAGTATTTGTGGCATGTAACTTAAACATACAAAATGCAGCAGTAGGATTGCAGTGATCTGCACTTACGGTGGCATCTTTCATATGCTTCAAAATTAAGACTTCCAGCTCTGATAATATTTAGGCACTATTGCCAAACCAAGATAAAGTCAACATACAGCATGCCTCATAAGTATTCTCACTATCTCTTCCAGCAATAATTACAGAGTTAATCAAATGTCCTAAGCACAGGTATACATGTATACGATAGAAAACACAGAAAAAAAATTAAATATATATTGTATTGCATAACTTCAAATCTGCATTAAAATAAACTGCACAAAGAGACTTAATTATATAAAAGGGAAAAACTGATCCTTTACTCATTAAAAATTAATTCTCTGCACCAATTTTTTACAATTTTGTTTAATTTATTGTGCTAAAAAAATGTAGTTCATTTTGAAATTTTCATGCTGGATTATAGTGAGTCAGATTTGATCAAAGCCAGACTATGTGAAGTGTTAAAACATTTAAACACATTCCAAAAAAATGACACTGAATATACTTATTAAAAAAATAGTTCATCATCAATAAAAAATCAGTACAGACACTGATATATATAATATTTACCTGTCCACTTAAAGTAAATGCTGTCCACATAGGTAAGCGAAATTTCAAGTCAAATGCAGTGATATAATCTTTATTGTATAAGAGACGGAGAGTACTGTTGTCCTGAAAACTATATGGAACTCCAAATGGTAAATATAGATGATGGATTTCATTGACGTTTTTAACTTCAACTTGCTTATGAGGCTAAAATTATACATATTAAAATTTCTATAATTCTAGCAGATTATTTAGAAAAGTAACAAGAGAAATACTGGTCAGTTTTTCCACTGGATAACAACACAAAAAGATTTTAAGCCTGAATGAAAATTTTGCATAAAAAATTTTTAAAAGCAATTTCATAAAAGAATAAATGAAATTGCGTTCACTCAATATTAAGTATTGTTTTCAAACATAAAAATTGTTTTAATATCATATGAACAAAACTAAATGTTAAATCAAAAATTTTAGAATGAAATTCTCATCAGAATGTCATAAAATGACCAATTTTAGAATGAAATTCTCATCAGAATGTCATAAAATGACCACACTTAATAATCATTTAAAAGAACTAACAAGCATTCCAATATTGAAAACATTACATTAGTTCTTAAAACTGAAACTAATTAACAAGCATCTATTTGATTAAATATTTCAGAAGTACACTACTGTTTGAAAATTGCAACACCATGAAAGCATCATCAGAAAAGATTAAAATTTATTTCACATACCATTTGTAGTGACACAAAGAAATAATTAAACTTACAAAGTAATACAAGAATTTTAATGACTAAAATCAATATCTGATGAAGCCCCCCATGCACTGCAATAACAGCTCCTACTCATCATGGCAATGAGTGAAACAGGTTTCAATATGTGCGGTCAGTGTCATCAGATGGGTGTCATGAGCATATTTCCTTCCAAGGCATGTTCACTAGGCAACATATCTAGTGAATGGGCAGACTCAGGAAGAAGCAATATCTGATTTAGTGAGAAGAAGCCTTAGGCATTTCTCGCAATATGTGGACAAGAATTGTTCTGTTAAAACATACCTCCACGAATGTGTTGAATTAAGGGTTGTGGTTCTATGATCTCCTTGATGTGGTGTTTATTCATGACAGTACTTTAAATTCTTAGCAGTCAAAATCGTCCATCATATTCAATGATGCCACAGACCATCCCACTTGACAAATGTTCAGTATGATGCTGGATAATGCACTGAAGATGGCATTTACTCCTAAAGCATCTCATATACATATGACCGTCATTGTATAAAAGATGATCTGTTGCCAAACAGCTTGCCAGACAGTGTTGATCAGCCCACTGTAACCTTAGGCCTCAAAGGTGTCAAGGTAAAAGAATCCTCCATAAAGAAATGTATGCAATACATGGCACAGCAGACTCCAGCAAACTGTTGAAACTCAGAATGGCTTAACCATATTAGTGCTGCAACATTATGTCAACTGTTAAGGTGAAGCTACACAGTCCATTATTCTCATGTGGATGAAGCATAATTCACTCCATGCTGACATAATATTTTATGATTCAGTGCCAGATTTGTGGCTTATTCAATACTCTTGAGCTCACTACTTCCACAGATGCCCCACTGGCAAGTCCTTACACTCCATACAAGCAGCAATTTCATGCTAAAATAATCCTTCTTGTAGGCCAGTCATTTGTTCTCTGTTCAAATGGCATAAATTGCTTATACTAGGACTTTGTCAGTCATGGGCCTAGTGACTGCTTATAAAATGTTTTCCACAGCAGGTAACAAAACACTACTTTTGACATGACCCGCTATTTATGACTAACCCAAAATTTCCCAGTTGTTCAGCACATGCATGTATTATCATTCTGAAATCTTTAACCAGCTATGCATTTCCTGTAACTTTCAGTTCGTTCATATAATTTGTTCATGGTACTGCAGTTTTCACACATACTTAGAAATAACAGAATAAGAATAAACTTAAATAATAGTACAAAAGATAAATAGAATATACTTATAAATAATGCTATAAATAATTTCACCGATGTAATAAAAATAAAGACTGCACATATTATAATGATATAAATCAATAATATATATATATATATATGTAATATCATATCCACAAAAGTGCTTACCCAGCCTTTATTTTCACAACCGTTGTTTATAGACATATACAATACAAAGTCTGAAATCCAGATGTCCAGTATCTAGAATGATCTAACACCTGGATCTCGGGACCATCAGCCAAAAAATATATAAATAACTAAATAAAATAATATAATATAAACCCCCCTTACAAAGTCTAGAAATGGAGAACATAATATTGAAAAAAGGAACAGATGTGCCCTTAATGGGATTTTTAAAGCAGTCAGTCTCACATAACTGCTCATGCAACGATTGCAAATGTCTGGTGGTTGAGCGTATGCCTTATCACCTACCATTCTTGGTACATACTAGCATCATCTTGCCCATTAGTCGGCAGCCTTGTATGCGAGATGCATATTAGCTAACTTCATATTTATGTAATCAGATATTCTACTGCATCTGCAAGCAGTTCACAGATGACTTTTTCCCATGACAACATTTTGCAGTCAATGCCGCCTACAATGTGGTGATGCGATTTAAAAATCCTGTATAGCTGTGGCGTTCCGACAGATACTTCAACTTCTATTCATGAGATGGCGCCACGTGTAAAATCCAGTTCTTAATCGGAGCAGCAAAGCGACATCTTTACTCACTCAGACTTCTCGTCGGACAAGTGTACGCGACGCTAGCACGAACTGTGTTCCGAGCTCTGTGTTGATCTCTGCAATGTAATTTAAATTGTAATTTAGTATTTAATATATTTTTTTGTTATAGGAGATTGTCTACTCTTATTTTCTTTAATTATATCATGCATTAAGCACACACGACCACCAAAAGTGGTGACCTTTTGACTGAGCACGCTACTGACAATGGATTTTCAACGACCCTAAGCCACGTGCATCCAAGGCATTCTGAAGAACTGACTAAAAATAACAACGAATATGGACATTAAACGTATGCTACAACGTACCCCTTCAATTATTTCTAGAAGTATTGATATATATTGCTTGTGTTTTTTTTTTTCAAAGTCGTGCATATCATCGCAAGGAGCTTCAGCAAATCATCAATGTGATCTGTTCCGTTCCGCTGACTTCGCCGTCGTGCAATAATTCTTCGATCATTCAACTTTTGTGACAAATGTAATACAATAGTGATTTTTGCTAAATGTGCTACATCAGTAATTTTTCTGCAACGTGCTACGGCAAAATTCTTCCCTCAGTGTTCGAAAGTAGTGAATTTCTGTCCCACGTGCTACAGGAGTGATTTCCATTTTCCTTCGAAAGTGCCTTAGCAGTGTGAAGTGGTGATTTTGTGTGTGCGCAATACAAAATGAACGCATCATTTTTTTTTCTCAAATAAGAAATAATCAAAATAATTTTTCTTTTCAAATGCATTTCGGCAAAATATTATTTGTGTGTGTAATTGCTGACCCTGTATTATTTGTGTGTGTATCGTTATGTAAATTTTTTCTGCATGGTTAAAATATTTATTGTTATCATGGTAAAATATCAATAGTGTATCCTCATGCTACAATATTTGTGCTGTTAAGTGTTTATTATTTAAAGTGAAAATTATCTATCAGTATGCCCGACGATATTCCACCAGAGCCACAAATCACACGCGTTGCGGTGAAGCCACCGCCTTTCTGGAAAAATAATCCTTCATTGTGGTTCGCTCAGATCGAAGCACAATTTTCTATAGCTCGCATTAGTGAGGATTCTACAAAATTCAACCATGTAGTTGTAGCAATTGAGTCTGATATTCTGAATTCAGCGCATGACTTAATTCTCAAACCACCTGATTGTGATAAATACTCCAAACTGAAACAGCGGCTCATTGAAATCTATTCAGAAAGTGAATCTTCCAAAATACGTACTTTACTACAAAGACTTGAACTTGGAGATCAGCGACCTTCATACTTGCTGTCACGAATGCGTGATCTGGCAGGAAGCCATTTTAGTGACGACTTGTTGAAGTCACTATGGCTTTCATACGCGTCTCCCTCTAATAACATACAAATAATTCTTGCTGCTTCCAATGAAGATCTAAACCTGTTTAGCAGCAATGGCTGACAAAATTAATGAACTTGTTACTCCAGCTTATGTCAAGTGGCTGCTAATGCTGCACCTTCCAGTTCATCCCTCGAACAACAAGTGGCTGAATTGACCAAAAAAAGTATCTGAACTCTCTACAAGTCTTCATGCTTCACGGAGATACAATCGATCAAATCAGGGCCCACGTAATAAATTTCGTGCCCGAAAGCAGGAGTCAAGATCTCGTCATAATACTCGAACGCAGTACAAAGAACCCACAAGTGGCATATGTTTTTATCATATATGCATTTTGGCTCTCAAGGCTCGCAAGTGTGCCCCTCCATGCACTTTTGTACAAGCGGGAAACTAAATGGGCGGTCTTCTGCTGGCCAACAGAATGTCCGCCACATTGACAGAATAGTACTAGATGGCTGATCGTTCCAACTCAGTTATGTTTTCTAGTAGTAGGATACTGGAGCTGACATATCAGTGCAAATCCCGAGAACTAAAACAAATGCTCACCAACTTAATAAACTTGTACTGTATGCAGCCAATGGTACCCAAATTGCAACCTACGGCACTAAACTATTGACACTTGATTTAAACTTGCGCCGGACTTTCAACTGGCCTTTTATTATTGCGGATGTAACTCAAGCAATTATTGGTGTCGACTTCTTGACACATTTCCACCTTCTAGTGGATGTCAAGAATAATTGCTTAATTGATGCTACAACCCAGCTGACGTCACAGGGCCAAGCTTCTCACGTATCAAACGTACCTACCAACATAAGTGTTTTTATCGGGGCAGCACACGGTTTCATCGGTTATTAGCAGAATTCCCTGACATTTTAAAACCCATCCAAATCAGGGCAGCATACTCATCAGCCAGAAGTGTATCATCACATTGAAAACACATGGCCCACCTGTATTTTCCAAGCCTCGTCGTCTTTCTCCAGAGATGCTAAAAGCTGCTCGCAAAGAATTTGAATTCATGCTAGCACAGGGAACCATTCGCCCATCTAAAAGTCCATGGGCCAGTCCACTTCACATGGTTAAAAAGTCTAATGGTGACTGGCGGCCTTGTGGAGATTATCGTCGACTTAATGCCGTCACAGTCCCTGACAGATATCCAGTCCCACATATCCAAGACTGTACCCATCTTTTTCATGGAACAAACATATTTTCTACCCTCGATCTTGCCAGAGAATATCATCAGATCCCAGTGCATGCTGAAGATGTGCCCAAGACCGCAGTGACTACACCATTTGGCCTCTTTGAGTACTTATATATGCCATTTGGCCTTCACAATGCTGGCCAAACATTTCAGCATTTCATACACCAAGTACTGTCTGGTCTCGATTTCTGCATCCCATATTTTGATGATATCCTGGTTGCATCTACAGATGCGGAAGAACATTTTAAACATCTGCGTCAGATTTTCACTCGCCTTAAAGATCATGGATTAAAACTAAATCCATCCAAATGTGTACTTGGTCAACCCTCAGTTTCCTTTCTTGGATGTCTTATCACCCAGAATGGAGTCAAACCTTTACCGGAGAGAGTCAAAGCAATTAACGACCTACCCCAGCCCAAAACCATCTCTGAACTGAAGCGTTTTCTAGCAATGTTAAATTTCTACCGACGCTTTCTGCCAAATGCCACAAAAACACAAGCCTGCCTACATGAGTTTCTGAAGAATAGCAAAAAAAACGATCAACGAGCTGTCCCTTGGACTGAATCTGCATCTGCAGCATTCGTGCAATGCAAACACGATCTGGCAAATGCAGCCACACTTTCTTATCACTCACCTAGTGATCAGCTCTCTATAATGGTAGATGCATCTGACACGGCCATAGGAGCAGTGCTTCAAGCCCATACCACTAAAGGACTTTCCCCAATGGCATTCTTTTCCAGAAAACTCACTACTGCAGAAAGGAAATACAGCACATATGACAGAGAGCTACTTGCTGTGTACTGTGCTGTTAAATACTTCCGGCACAACTTGGAAGGACACGACTTCATCATTTTCACCAATCATCGACCATTAACCTTCGCTTTTAGAAAAAACTCTGACTCATGTTCTCCTCGTCAGCTTCGACATCTGGATTTCATCGCCCAGTTTAGTACAGATATCAGATATGTCTCTGGTACTGATAATTGTGTCGCTGATGCCTTGTCTCGGGTAAACAATATCAACCTCACTACCCCAGATTTCTCTGAAATTGCAAAAGCTCAATTGCATGATGAGGAACTCAAGAACCTAATCTCAAATCCACAAACCTCCCTTCAGTTACAACCACTGCACATTGATCCAACGCTTAAAATTTACTGTGACATAGAGAACAATAGAATACGTCCCTATATTCCTGTCAATTTTAGACGGGAAGTGTTTAATGCCTTGCACAATTTGGCACATCCTGGAATCCGTGCCACCAAAAAGCTGATCGCAGACAGATTTGTCTGGCCAGCGATGAATCAAGACATCACAGAATGGACTCGGTCATGTATTAGATGTCAACGGTGTAAAGTATCCCGTCACACTCACAGTCCCATTCAACAATTTAACCTTCCAGCAAGACGCTTTGATCATGTGCACTTAGACTTGGTTGGCCCATTGCCTCCTTCAAATGGTTACACTTACCTCCTCACTTGTATTGATCGGTACACAAGATGGCCCTGAAGCCATTCCTATTGAAAATATATCCGCTGAAACTGTAGCTCGAGCATTCATCTCCCAGTGGCTTTCAAGATTTTGGCATGCCTACCACCATCACTACTGACCAAGGCCGACAATTTCAATGTCACTTGTTCGCATCCCTCACCTCTCTTCTTGGCATTCGCCATATTCGCACAACACCATACCATCCATCTGAAAATGGCATGGTGGAACGCTTTCAATGATCTCTCAAACAAGGTCTGAAGTGCCACAGTAGCACACACTGGACAGAAGCCTTACCCCTAGTCTTGCTTGGTCTTCGCGCAGCATTCAAAGAAGACATTGGTAGCACTTGTGCTGAAATGTTATATGGTGCAACCCTCCGTCTTCCAGGTGAATTCTTTCACCCAGAATCTACTCCAGTTATCGACCCTCCAACATTCCTTCAACGTTTACGTGAGACCATGAGCAATATCTCGCCAACCCCAGCATCTTCGCATAACCAGCCAAGCTATTTTGTACATCCTGCGCTTGAGACATCTTCGCACGTATTCGTGCGCAACGATGCAACTTAACACCTTCATATGATGATTCAGCCAACTTTAACACCTTCATATGATGGTCCATTCAAAGTTGTCAAACGAACACCGAAACATTTCACCATCATCTGCAATGGCAAACAATCAGTGATTGGAATCGATCGTCTCAAACCAGCATTTCTAATGCAAGATCCAACAACTTCCTCATCAACATCACTTCCGGAAGAAAGCTTACATCCCGTTAAAGAGCAACCTAAAACTACCAGATCTGGAAGAAAGGTTAAATTTAACCCAAAGTACTTATAACGTACCGATGGTACTTGGGGGGGAGTACTGTGGCGTTCCGACAGATACTTCAACTTCTATTCATGAGATGGCGCCACGTGTAAAATCCAGTTCTTAATCGGAGCAGCAAAGCGACATCTTTACTCACTCAGACTTCTCGTCGGACAAGTGTATGCGACGCTAGCACGAACTGTGTTCCGAGCTCTGTGTTGATCTCTGCAATGTAATTTAAATTGTAATTTAGTATTTAATATATTTTTTTGTTATAGGAGATTGTCTACTCTTATTTTCTTTAATTATATCATGCATTAAGCACACACGACCACCAAATAGCTATATGATTCTGATTTGTTTTTATGAAAACTACTCCTCCCAGAAGTTTATGCACACTATACCGAAATATCTTGTAATTGCTTCATAAAGAATACAAGGCTTGTAAAACAATCCATTTCCCAATTTGCATACTACTAATAATTTTGAAATCACGTAATAAAAATAATAAATGTCAATGTCTTGTCGTCAGAGTATTTTTTCATTTTGTACAAATAAAATATTTGAGGTAAGCTTATCTTTTGTAATTATTCTTTCCTTCTCTTGTAAAACATACGGTGCCAAATATTACAGCAAACAGCAGCAGATCACAGTACTATGATATTGACAGTTGTTTTAGTGATGTCAGCTTCGATGCATGTTTGTAATGATGAAAAACTAACTTTCTTGCAGCCTACTCCAGTTAATAGCATGTTTATTACAGAGAAATGAACAGGTTAAAAAAACCTAGTGCTACTTGAGTTCACCCAACTTGCAAAAAAAAAAAAAAAAAAAAAAAAAAAAACACTTGATTACACTTGTAGGAACAATATTCACGAAACATATTGAATCATTTACCCTTTCTTACACTCTTATATATTAAGTAAGATTTCATTTGAAAATGTTGCTGCCAAAAATATTAGAGGATTAGGTAAGTCTCAGTTAGAATAAAAACAGTCTTGTCTTTTAACATCTATTCTTCAAACATTCTTTTCAGTCTTGATGTCTCAGCAGAAGCATTACCCTCCCAAACATTTGACATTACTTATACTTCAGTCATTGTCAGACACAAATCAGACTACTTTTTTTTATTCATATAACAAGAATAAATTATTGAACAATGTTTACAATTAAAACAAATTAAATACCTGAGCACAAGAACAATTAGAAGCAGTAATTCTGAAATTATACTCCATCTCATCTTTTGGAATATCTCCAGTTGTTGGTGCATCAGGTTCAAATTGAGGAGGAAGTGGAGGAGGAGATTTTAAAATGTGATGTAAGCTCCCTCTGGTACCATTATTTGGTTGAGGAACCACATGAATTAATTCTAAAAATGAAACACCAGTTTTTCAAGAAAATATCAAACATGCTATTTTACAAACAGATTGCATTAAAAAAATTTCTATTGGAGTAAAGAAAATTAATTTCAATACGCGCAAGCATCAAAACCAGAAGTATTAATTTAATTCATTTTGCCTTAAGGGCTGTTTTTAAATTTCTGCCATACCTCATGGGCATCCAGTGTTTTATGTTTGGCAAAATATCAATTTCATGAAAATATGCAATTTTACTGATGATTTTGTGTTTCCAAAGAATAAGGAAAAGTAACATGAACCTACAAAAAACTGAAGAAAATCCACTAATAAATGCAAACGTTAACTTGCTATTATTCTATGACAACTTATTAAAATTTGGTGTATATTCTGATATGCCATCACCATGTTGTTTTCACATATTTCTTCACTTACTTTTTACTATTTTAAGTTGTGAAGAAGCTTGCTGAAATGCTGTCAGTGTTAGAGTATATCTAAGTATGTTTTAGTATTTAATAGGGTCCATTAGTTTAAAAGCTTCATCACTTTTCTTTTCTGTGCATTTGAGTGTTATATTAGTACAAAGAGTAATAATCTCTAATTCAGCTTCCAATTTATTAATAAAATAAAATTTTTTCATTGATGAAATCACTTCCTTCATGTCTAATTCCAAGAAAGGATTTTTTTGTGAACAATAAAATGGGCTCTATAGAACATGTCTTGAAACCATCTTTTAAATTTTCAGCTAAGTAACAGAAAGTATTTAACGCATTTAGATAGATCATACTCAAAAACAAATTCTGGATCTAGAATGAGGGTGAATGAAGAGAAACATTGATAGTTTTTTTTCCAATAAGTAGTTCTTCCACAAATTGATTTTAGCCAGAAAAGCAAATATTGAGCTCATCATTTCCAATACATGTTTGCCTTTTCTTTGTAGCATGGAACTTAGGTCCCTGAATTTTGCAGTGATAATGATTAAAAATACCAAGTTAGCATGTCACCCAAATTTTGGCAATAGCAATCTTTGGATATCAGAGAAGTGTTAATCTCCAATAGCATTCCAACAAATCTTACTAAAACGTTTCTTCAACTCAGCGACTTTACTTCTGAGATTGACCTTTTTAGTGGCCAAATTTTCTTGATGAAGTGGTGGTATGAATTAAATTTGAAAATGTGTGATCCTGCTTATAGAGCCAATAAACATAGTATTATTCTCCTTCATAACCGGCACACCGTTGGTTGTGATAGCAAGGATTTTTTTTTAATATATTGGTATGTTTACTTCAAAAATATAGTTTTTAACTATGTCATACATGTCTTGCTCTCAGTATGTTTTGCCACAATATGGTCAACAATTCTGCTTTCACGGAGAAGTCAGAAAACACCATTCTCATGAGCATCAGATGTTCTGGTGAGTAGGTAACATCAATTGGATTCACCAAACAGCAAGGAAAACTATGCACATTTTTCCAAATTAGATCTTATACGTACGTAGATATCATTCATCATATCATCCAGTCGTCTTGCCACTATGTTTCATAACAGAGGCAGATCTTTTATAGCTGAGATTACCCTATTTTTGTTTTTAAATTCATGAAATAAAGACCCTGGCATCTTCACCATAACTTCCTTCACAAAGGCACCATTTTAATATGCCTTTTTTTGTGATGCAAGGATGTAATTTACTTTAAAAGATAGTTCTATGTAACTTTCCTGCATCATTTTTATAGTAAAAAGACTGTTGAGCTTTTACAGAAGATTCATTGATTGAGCTTTATGTAAGACCTGAATAGGTGAATGCAAATGCAAATGCAATGCCCTTGTACTTGACATGTAATTAAGTCTTTTGTATTGTTGTTTTTAACATTAGGATCAGAGTAAAGTTTTTCCTCATAATGATATTGTGACTGGCAGGTGCCTAAAGATAGGATTATGGGCTACCATTCACCTGTGAGCCACCAGATTGACACAATTGACTTAAACAATGTAAACCAAATTATACCTATCCTCATACAAATAAAAAGCATCTGTACTCAAATGATAACATAAATCAAACTCATTCAAGAAATTGAAATAATATAAATAAACCCATTGAAGGGTTCTACAAGTCAGAAGTTCTTCATATGGGAAAGACAATGAATTTAAGTAAGTTTAACAAAGATAAAATGGGGTTACAGTCAAATTACCCATCCAGAGTATTCCTAAAAGCAAGCTTGTATATAATTAAGGGCCAGTCAGGTTTAGCTCCATGAAAAAATGGTCCACTGAGGAAAAACTCATGAATTGCTTGAAAAATCGCCGAAGTCCAGATGACTTTGGCGATTAATAATGTACTTATGTAAAAATAATGTACACTGCTCAACATTGAAAATGCAACACCAAGAAAGAAGATCAGTGGTCAGAAAGTGATGAAATTTGGAAAAAAAGACAGAGACAGCAAGCAGGAATAAGTGATCTTTATTTCAAAATGATAGTCAGAATACAGAACGAGAACGGCATCAGCTCAACAGGATGTAGGACCACCGCGGACAGCAATGAACGAAGAAACACGTCTAGGCATAGAGTCAATAAGAGTGCGGATGGTGTCCCAAGAAATGGCTCTCCATTCCCTTTCAACCATTTGCCACAGTTCGTCTTCTGAACGAGGCAGGGGCAGAGTCTGCAAACGGTGTCCAATCACATCACACACATGTTCGATTGGTGACAGGTCAAGAGAGTACGGTGGCCAGGGAAGCATCTATATACCTTTCAGAGCATGTTGACAGATGCGAGCACTGTGTAGTCGGGTGTTATCCTGCTGAAAACTTGCATTAGGCAGCCCCTGAAGGTAGGGGATTGCCACCAGCCACAGTATATTATCCAAGTATCGTTGGGCCGTCATAGTGGCCTGAATGCGAACTAGAGTTGACCTGAAATCATAGGCAAAAGCACCCCAAACCATTATGCCACGTTGTCGTGTGGTGGGGCATTCCACAGTTACTGCCGGATTAGATCTGTCTCCACGTCGACGCCACACATGTATGCGGCGACTGTCACTGGATAAACAGAAGCATGACTCATCTGGGAACATGATGTTCTGCCATTCTGTCATCCACATCGCTCCAGTCTAGCACCATTCTAAACAGCAGCGTAGCTAGAGGGGGCATCTGTCCCCGGGCGCAGAATCCAAGGGGCACCAAACTGATGTTACGACATTTTAGAATTTAATGTTTTCCACCCTTGGCAAGCAATAGGGGGCACGAAATCTTCAGTTGTCCCTGGGCACTGAAAACCCTAGCTATGAATCTGATTCTAAACATTGGCGTCTATGCTGTGGGGTCATGGCAGTCTTCTTAATGGACGCCGTGAGTGCTGGCCACGTTCAGCCAATCGATGGGAAGTGGTTCTGGTCGACACGGAAACATCCAGGGTATCTTCCACATGCTGCAGAATCGCAGTACAAGTGACTTGCGGGACCACCACAGCTTGTTGGTGGATGCATCGATCCACACGTGCTGAAGTCACTCTGGCTTCACCTGCACCCCTCCTTCATCTCACATTTCCTTGTTCCAACCATGTTCGCCATAGCTGATGCATCGTGCTCGCATCCATGTGGGTATCAGCTACGATTTGACGCAAGGACCACACTGCCCTTCTCAGTCCGATCACCATACCCCTCATAAAATCGTCTATCTGCTGGAAGTGCCTCCGTTGACGGTGGCCCGGCATTCTCTCCTATTACACGTATCCTCCTGGACAAAAACCAACTTTCTTCGATAATTCGTCTGGCAGAAACAATGACACGAATATTGCCTATTCTGCATGTTCCATCCCTAATATCTTACTTCATGTATGTCGGAGAGCTGCACATTTCACATCATTCGCATAACTTAGTGACGTGTGTCTACTCTAAAGTTTGCATAAATTTCTGACAACTCCTTCTTGGTGTTGCATTTTCAATGTCAAGCAGTGTACTTATGCCATACTTCTAAATTTCTCAAAATGATTCATATAATTTAAAGAAAAGTGACAAAGCCCTATCCTCCAGAGTCCATAGATCTCAGTACCATTAAATGTCTGATATAATAGAAAAGCTAATAATATCCACAGTTCAACCACATAAAAAGTTAACTAATCTGTTGATAATATTTCTGTGCTAATCCATACAGCACCCTTGAAATATTACAGCATCTATGTCCACTTAGTTAAAAACTGCCTGTGTAAGGCAAACATCTCATTAGGCAGGTGACAATATTTTAGTTTTTTGGCATCATAATAATGCTGTCTGTACTGTCATTCCAGCCTTTGGCTGGGGCTTGGACGGAAGTAGATCAACTCCCATGAGTAGATGTAAATCCCATATGGAGAATACCCTGGTTGGGAGCCTGTTCAGCGGCGAGTAGTAGTAGTCTTTTGGCATATATAAAATAAGTAGTTAGATTTAAATCACCAGAAGATGAGAATTGATATCAAAATTAGACAAAATCATTCATAGATATCTATTGGGTAATAAATAATACAAGTTGGTAAGCATATGTTTATAGTCTCTTTATCACAGCTTGATGAAACTAATCTTAAAAACTTTTCAAATTTTAAATCAATAAAGCCCAATTCACCTTAAATGGTCCTTCATGAGCATTGATTAAAAAGACACTAGAATTAGATACCATCTTGAAAACATTTGGGAATGTAACAGTATAGTTTTATAAGATAAAAATCGGTAACTGATCAACATATTTTTTCAGTACTAGGTTTCACAGCGAGATAAAACTATTTTTTCAAATAACTAGTCCACAGTAATCCATAATAATGTTTATCTGCAAAAGGAGTTTTTGTGGATGAATAACCATATACTAATAGTTACATGAATAGACTATTCACATCAGTAAGCTTAAGTATGAATAAATACATCTCGGACACTCTTTAATAAAACGCAAATTTTATGTTTTTTAGGTGTAAAGAAGCATAAAATTCATCTTGTATTTTGACGATGCACTACTATATTATATTACCTTCTCAGCATACAAAGCAAATTTCTCTTAATATTTCTGTTCATTTTGTTTGCTTTACAATTGTTATATTTAATGCTTGATTTTGAACAACTACTACTATCTGTCTAAAAAGTTACATGAAATTCAAATGCCTTTACATAAAGCAAAAAAATGTTCAGATTTTCCAAAATGACTTAATGAAATAAAGCCTTAAAACTGGATTTCAGATGAAATTTTGAAATAAAACAATTATGTATTTTTTGCTATAACTTCCTGTAATTTATTTTTATACAGTTCTATTTAGCTCAAAAAGAAGGTATATTTTTAATTACCATAAATATTATTGTAAACTTTTTGTAAATGTGAGAAAAAATTTCAGTTTAGCAGCTTTTGTAATGCTTTCTCTAGGGCACTTTAAGATAGAAGATTTTCACATCCTGCATTAAATTACTGCATTTATATTCCACATCAGATAAATAAAAATTCATTCCTTATATTTCATGTTTCATTCAGGATTGAAGTTACATGTAAATAACAGTGTATGAAGCTTTCACGTGGAAGTCTGCTTGATTAATCTTTTTCCACCATGTAAAATCTTCATAAACGTTTACAGTTTAGAATTTATGTACATCAACTTCTCCATTCATAAATTTCGAAGCTTTCGTTTCTTAAATGGTTTAATTAATTAATCTTTAATTATGTTGACATGAAGCATATAGTCTTTTTATCACAATATGAATAAGCATAAAATCAAAAAATAATAATAATTTAATTTATAAATATTATACGTACGCTGCACAAAAAAAGGGGGGACAGTTCTACTGGACCAATTGACGAAATTCAAGTTGCGTATTTCATGTCTTGAAAGCGCGACTTAGGATATGTATTAGATTTATATACAGTATTATTTTAATACAGGTACTCTGACACAAAATCGGTCTTTTACTGAAAATGGCATGCCAATTTTTTTTCCATATTTCGATTTTGTGACTCAAATTATACCAAACTGTCAACTTTTGTAAAAATCGCATGAGTAGTTTTTTTAAAATTAGGTCTCAAAATTTTAGCTCCTCAATGTTAATTGAATTTGATATATATTGTTAATATCTTCTTTTTTTTTATTAAACTTACTTGAATTCGAAATTTAGGCTTAATCCAAATATAATATGCACATTTTTATTATTTATGTAAAAAATTTGTATTTTAAAATATTTTTTATAAATTTTTCGAAACAAGCAGGTGTATTTCTAGACGCACCTGCAAAAAATTAGTTTTTTATTCAAAATATTTAAAGATATACATGAATTTACATATTGGAGTGTTTTGAAATTTTACATCCTCTTTTTGAGCGATAATAACGCCAAATGTGGTTTACACATTTTGTTAAAATCATTTGAAAGTATGAACAATGATTCCCCCCCCTCATCTGCAATGAAAAAAAGAAAAAGAACACAGACTGCTATAAATTAAGAAGTTCACCAAGTAAATTATTCTTGGCGAAAACTGAAAAAATACACCACGATAAATAGTAAGTAGATGTATTTCTAAGCATATCTGCAAAAAGTGTCTTTTATTCAAAATTTCGTAAGATATACTTTAATTTACATTTTGGCAAGTTTTGAAATTTGGTGTATTTAATATAAGCGATAATTACGATTGTGGTTTATGCACTTTGTTAAAATTATTTGAAAGAATGAACGATGGACCATTTTTTCTCTTGCGTATCAATGAAAAAAACAATAAAGTAAGTAGACTACTATAAAGAATTCCACCAAATAAATTATTACTGAAAAAATTCACCAGGATAAATTTCTAAATTTACCGCCAAAAATTAAAAAATTTAATATCTGGGCATAATTTGAGTCGTAGAATCGAAATATGGAAAACAATTTATATGTTTTTTCAGAAAAAATCTGATTTTGAGTCAAAAAATATCTATGTTAGAGAGATGCTATACATAAATCTAATATATATCCTATGTTGCGCTTTCAAGACATGAAAAATGCAATTTTCATGTCTTGAATTTCGTCAATCCGCAAAATAGAACAGGAGTTATAGAACTGTACCCCCCTTTTTTTGGCGCAGTGTCAGATGACTTATCAGCAGGGAAATATTTCATAAACATATTATTCAACTCAATTTGCAAATGAGCAGTTCAAAAAATTTTTAGAAAGTGGGAAAAAAAACTTTTTCATATTTGAATAAAAATTATAAAAAATTTATTTACATTTTGTAGCTGGCAGAAATACCTTCGTGGATTTACTGTTCCACTGATTAATGCCCATAATATGCTCAAATTAAAATATAAGGAACAAATGGAAAACAAATACTCTGCAGTTAACTCTTTTTTTAGTTTACATACAAGGAAGGAAAACCCAGCTTCACCTATAGCAATCAATTACAAGTATTTTAAAAAGTTGCAAAATGAAGGCTTATGCAACTTTTGTGCACATTTAGCTAACTAGAAAAAATAAAAAGCTACTCGTATTTTCGGAAAATTATTCATTTCCGCAACGCCGATACTTATGATAGAAATCAACATTTTTTTTATTATTTTTTTTTTATATTAAGTAAAATATAGGAGAGAATATCATATTTAACAATATAATATATGACACAATATAATAATATTTATGTTACAAATATAACAATATATACTACAATACAATATTACAATATATACAATGCTGTAATATATATTTAAATATATATTCAACACTTATAAATACTTTATTTTTTATAAAAATCACAGAAAATAACAAAAAAGACATACCAGTAAATAATTCATATAACTCTGTGTTTATAAAAGGTCTAATAGTTAAATTTGTTTTGAAAGATGGGCCACTAGCCACGAAAAAAGCCTAAAAGAAAATACAAAGAAATTAATTTTTCTACCTAAATAGAAAAAACAAACACTTTTACACTTCAGTATGTTCATTGAAGAAAAATTATAAAGGAATGTAAAATAATAATTTGAAACATGCTTGGCACACTGGATTAGTCATTACAATTACAAATTCCTTCATTTTGAATTAAAAAGTGCAATGAAGGCTACGGGCTATTTTTTATTACTATTATAATTTTGCAATGCATGTATATATACGGAATACAGGCTATTTTTATTACTATTATAATTTTGCAATGCATGTATATATTTCATAAAAATACATGAAATATGTTGTTTAAAATAATACATTTCGTAATCCAAAATAAAAGAATCTCTCCCCCTTAAAATGCCCAACTAGAAGTTACAAAGCTTATAGTGTAATTCTGTACATAGGAAATATACCTTGCTCCTTAAACTTTATCTTAGAAAGAAAGATATTTATTTAATATTAACATATTTATGATATTCAGACTATTTAATTACCTTTCTAGAAGAATAACTTTAAAATAACAAGCTCATACATATAACATTTTCTAATATGGAAGTTTTTCCTATCAAAATGCCTTTAAAATTGCAGCTTTGTCTTATAACACAACAGAGTATTAAATTAATGTATCAAATTATATGTTATTATTAATTAATGTATCAAATTATATTATTATGAAAATTTTCTACATATCCAATTTGGAAATTATAACATTTTTCTGATGATAATTACAATTCTAGAATAACCTATTATGTCAAATTATATAAAAAATTAAAAAGAAGAAAAATCTGAAAGCTTTCAGATTTTGCATTACTCCCAAAGAGATATTTTGTGTGTTACCTTTATTATTTATTAAATATCATGTTCTTTGCACTTAAACCATAAAATTCAATTCAACAGCAATATATCAAAATAATTTTTAAATGAGCATATCTTTAGAATTTCCGATGCACAGTTTCGCACCTTGGAGAATTTTTTTTCGGGGGGGGAGGGGGTACATTGTTGCCATTGCTCACTTTGAATTCGTGAGTTTTTAATCAAAAATTCGTTTCAGCGTTACAAAATATGAAATCGATAATAAAACAAATTCCAATTAGGGCTTCCATTCCATGGAAAATTACATTATTCTAAATTTGATGGCTCTAGGTACCCTTGTTTTATCACAGTGCAAGAAACATACATAAATTTATGCAGATTCTTCATTATTTAATTTTTTTAAATATAACACAGGGCGATAATATTTGGTGGCAATAATTTGAAATGTGAACCGGCATTTAACATTTTCAACTCAAAATGCCAAAACGAAATTAATAGCCCTTTTGGGCTAATGCCCTTTGCCTAACAATGAAAATTCTTGTTTTTACAACTTTTAGGAAGGGAAAAAATTGGAATTGTCTACTACTATGTGAAAAATATTAGTCTAAAATTTTCAAGCATGATTTTTAAATAAATGAATAAACACTAATTTTTATAAACATTTATATAGGGAAATTTTTCAAAAAGTTAAAAAATCCATATTCCTAAAAAAATGAAAAAAAATTCAAAACTTTTTTCAAATTTATCTATGCCAAACAGACATCATAAATACAATTTTATTTTTAAAACAAAGAAACAAGGGAAAGAAATAAATAAAATCCTTACTAAAGCAAGCTAATACCATTTTTAGGAGTTATCCTAGAATCTGTGTCTATTACTAATATTTATATTTTTCTAGCAGTAAAAGGTTAAATTGGTTCTAAAATTACTTCGATCTTCAGTAACAACCTATTTCTGATGCAAGAAAGAAAATATTAGAAACATGAGGCTGTAATTTTACCAGTTATTAAAATGCAAGTTAGCATACACGTTTCATCTATTTCATCAAAATCTTCAAGACATTACAACTAAAATCAGCTTTTAATATTACATATTCAATTTTCTTATGTCTCACATATCAACAAATTGGTCAGCTTAGTCTTTCAATAATTAATGTCATAATCTCAGAAGATTTTAGATTAAATGGGCAATACTATACTTTCCTTTGGTACTTATGCTGCCCATTGTTTAACTGTCATCACACAGCATGATTTAGTGCCAGTTATGGGTAAGAGCGATGTTATAATGCATTCATCTGTGATTTCATTGATGTAACTTGGTTGATTCACAAATGAAGCAAAATCAAATTTGTGACTGCACTACAGTTCATTCAAATCTGCCAAAATAAGTTTGCTGCTGCTAATTTTAAGTTTTACATTGAATTATTTCTCTTCCTTTTTGAAAATTAATTTTAGTAAATGGATTTAATTGTGAATATAATATGCATATATTTATTAGGCTTCAATATACCATTAGGCTTATAAAAACTGTAAAATAAGCCAAAGTAAATACATTCAATCCAGTATCCTGCAAAGTTTCTATTCTGATAATTCTTATATTCTCCAAAAATTTAATAGTCTGCTGTAAATAAGAAACCTTATTAACAGCTTAAAGCAGAGGTTATCAACCTTTTGATAACTCATACCATCTAAACAAAAATTGAAAACCTTTAGTACCACCACTACATTTTACAATGATTATTTTTCAATTTCTGAATAGAAATATTTAAAAAAAAAATTATGAAAGCTTTCACATTTTATATTACGCCCAAAGTGGCCTTTTTTTTTTTTTTTTTTTTTTTTTTTTTTTTTTTTTAAATGTTTGGTGTGTTACCTTTATTTATTAAATATCATGTTCTTCGCACTTAAAACACATAAAATTTAATTCAACAGCAATATCACAACAAAGTCCGTAATCCGGACTTGTCGGGACTTCGGTGATTCCGGATTAGGGATTTTTCCGGATTATAGATCATCAATTTAAATCTAGTAAAATGGCATGCAGAAATTATACAATTAAAAATATGAAACCATAATTTATGAAATAAAGAGCAATTATGAACTAAAGAGTATCAAATTTTACAAAAAAAAAAAAAAAAGAGAAGCTTAATATTTATTTGTTTACTTTATCAAAACATTTCTTTCAATGCGGGCATGCGTAACGTTTGTGGCTTTGAGGTCCAGATCACGGACTTTATACTGGATTTAAAAACAGCATACCTTTAGAACTTTCGATACACAGTCTCACGCGCTGGAGATTAAGATGTTTCTTTTTTTTCGCACAGTGTTGCCATTGCCCGCTTTGAAATTGTTGAGTTTGTTAACCAAAAATTCGTTAAAGTTTTGAAAATTTTGAAATAGAAAATAAAACAAATTCGAAATTAAAAATTAAGGCTTTCAAGTGGCTATCTTCGATTGGAAGACAATGTTAATCAAAGTTGATGGCTCTAGGTACCATTGTTTTTTCACAGTGTGAGAAACATGCATGCATTCATGCAAATTCTTCATTACTTAGTTTCTTTAAATATAACACAGGGCAATAACATTAGGTGGCAACAGTTTGAAAAGTGAACAAGCATTTAAAGTTTACAACTCAAAATGCCAAAACGAAATTAATAGTCTTTCTGGGCTAATGCCCTTTGGGCTGAAAAATATTTTGCCATTTGCACAACATATTGGCTATTTGAATTAAATATACACACATAAAATTATTAGATTAAAAATTTAACATGGAAGAAAATCTTTATGCACACATATAGGTTGTGCAAAAAGGCAATAAAAATTTAATAGCTTTATTTGAAATGCTTCTAAATTCTTTTTTCGGTTAAGCCAAAACTTAACAAGTGCGTTATTTTTGAAATCTTCAGTTAGAGTTCGATCACAGGAAATATCTATCAATTATTCTTTTTCTTCGTGAGAGAAAATTATATTTGAACAAAATAAATTTTTAATCCAATTTTCGTTTTCATAATCCTCAGGAAAATACATGTTGAAATTATTGTTCACAGCCCACCTCTTGGCATAAAATCATAAATATTCTTGAATTTAAACCTCGGCTTTTAATAAAATTAACAATTTTCACAGCTTGATTAAAAACAATTTTCAGGCTTTCAGAGATTGTTTCGGCTACTAAATCTTCACGGTGTATGGAGCAGTGAATAAATTTAGTTTCATGTGCGAGTTTCTTTATTTGAGATATCACTCTGGAATGTTTTCCTATTAAAGCCCGAGTTCTGTCACTGCATATGGCAATGCACTTATTCCAAGTAATATCATTCTCAGACCAAAAATTATCAATTACTTTGATAAAATTGCAGTTGCTCTATGAGGAGATTCACAAAATGAATACTCTTCAGCAATATATTTATCTTCTTCAAAACGTATGTAAACTAATAATTGAACAAAGTTCTTTGTATCAGTACCTTCATCCAACTGCAATGAGAAATATTCACTGTGTTTTATATTTTGAATAAGTGTCTCTTTTATGAAATATGCCATTTCATAAATTCGTCGACTTATTGTATCATTTGATAACGGAATATTATTAAGTTCATTAACCGCTTTTACATTAAATACTGTTAAATTGATATCTGTAGCTACTGTAGCTACGTTAAATACTGTTAAATTGATATCTGTAGCTTCATTAAATACTGTTAAATCGATATTTGTAGGTTTTCTCCAATAGTGTGAGCATAACCAGTCTTGGCAATTTCTAGGCTTACTAGGTTAGCAGCTTATAAAGCTTTTTCACTTGAAGTAACAAAACTTTTCATTACTTGTTTACTATTTTTGAGCTCCAATAATTTCCTCTTAAAATATTCTTCAGATTTATCCATTAAATTGTCATGCTGGGATTTAAGACTTCTTATAAGAAACGATGGTTTCATATTTTGATTGGTTCACTGCAGACAACACATTGAGGTTGGGGATGCATTTCATCTCCATTCCAAGTAAATCCAAATGATAAATAACTTTCATTATATTTCCTAGAAACAATTTTTCTTTTCTTCTCAGTATTCTTAAGTGCTAGTAGATTGTCCTGGATCCATCACTCGTGAATCATCACTTTTACACTTAGTCTATCCTAGCCATTTTTCCATTTTGAAAAAATTTAGGTTTGTTTCATTATTTGGC